CATTTCAGCCTGGTCGGAAAACGCTGCCTATGGCTAGTCGAGGCTCCTCAGAACACTCGAGCCAAACATTATAGCGAAGTACGCACGGCCTGATATTACTCGCTCTCTGGATTTCGCGCCGATCGGTTGTGCCCCCGCGATCTCCGACGACAGCGCAGCTTTGGCTGACTGGGCTCGCCCTACGCCATCTCCTGCCGCCATGAGCTCTCGCTGAGTGGTGCCCCGTACTCAGACTCCTGCGACGGGGTCCATCTTTCCTATCTCCTCTTTACTTCCGTCGCTCGCTTTCCCTGCGCCTCGCTCTCTCCTTCCTCTCCCTATATATACCTTTTTAATCCTATCCTCTTAATCCCTCTTTACCCCCATCCCTTGTGAGCTACTGTTGAGGTGTCGCACTCTGACGCAAACAGTTACGGGGCTCACTTTTCTCTTTTCCCTATAAGAATCACGTCAGAAAAAAAAGACCCGAGATTTACAATCAGTTATTTAGGTCAGTTAGAAATCTGTAGTAAAACTGTAGTCAGAAATCATTCCCTCTTATTTCTAAAAATGATACCATACACACAAATTACCGCGCCATGAGCCCAAATCTACGACCACTGACTGATTTGAGCATAGTAAGCTGCATAGTGACTGTGGCCGCCACGAGAGGTCGCCACATGCCTGTGCGCCCCTTTTCCCCCCTCCCCACGCGTTCGCCTATGGGCCTACACAAGAACGGCATTAGACAACGCGCCTTCAACTTTTCTCTCATATAACGCCTCCTATAGAGCATGGCGTTGCATTACATTAGAGCAGGATTTAGCACGGGATTTCAAACTAAAGCGCCTACGAAAGAACTAAATTAGCACTACAGATATCGCGCGGGATCAAGAGTCACAACTACACCAAGACGGGCCCAAGAGCTGCATTAGAGTGCGATATTCACAGCAAAACTAGAGCTACATTAGAGTATATTTGCATATATATTTATAATCATGCTAACTTGTTGCCCGTGCAGGTTTCTGCGATCCGCCGCCAGGTGTCCTGTGTCCCGGCAAGGTGGGGCCCACCGACGTCGACAAATCGCTGATACTGTTCCACCCGAGCGACCACTCGTGCCGCAGCTACCGGCACGGCCCGAACTGCCTCGTTGGCGAGAACCGCTTCCGCGACATGGATTCCTGCAGAGCTGCCTGCAGTAAGCGCCAACCACCACTTCTCCCGCCGAATGTTGACTGAATCGTACAGGACAAACCAGTGTCGATGTTGCTCGTTTCCTGCTTGTAACCTCCTCCTCATCATCAGCCTGACTATGTTCACTGAGTGGTAAAAGCCCGCCCCTCCCGCGTTTCGCCTGTTAACCTGATCCTGTGCCAGCTTCTATGATCTCATCAGTCCGCCTAACTTTCTGCCTCACGCGCTTGCCTTCTCTTGGAATCCAGTGAGTCCTATTAATGATCAGCAATCAGGCGCGTAGCCAGAAACGTTTTTCGGGGCGGGGGCACCCCCTTGATATGGTCCCTTGATATGGTAATTTTTTTTCGCTTTCTATGCAATGGCGAACAAAACTTCGGGGAGGAGAAGGAGGAGGAGGGGCACGGATCTGGTGTGCCACTTCCCGGCTACGCATCTGCCAGCAGTTAATAAGAAAAAAAATGACAGGTAGAACTTGAAGGGACCGGAGAGCAGACTGGAGCAGGAAACAAAGGAATGCTGAAATTTTAGCCGAGATCAACAAGAAATCGCAATGGACATGCAGCGCAAAGGCAAGATGGTTAGTATTAAATAAATAAATAAATCATTAATGCAATAACACTTAAGAGGCCGTGTTGCAAAAAAAAAAAAAGGTGTCAGCGGCATCGCACGTAAGCGATAAATATCGGCGGATGCTGAAAATTCAAGTCAGGATACGAGCCCGAATCGAACCGAACCTGGGCGACAGATAACCACAGGCGCGAAGCTTAATTTCTGCAACAACACACTTGATAAGCGCCAAAACTCGCCACAGAGTGCGAGGAGCGACGCCATATTAAACTTCCCGCACCAGACGTCGTGGCGTCATACGATTTTAACGGTGTCCGCTAGAGTGCCTCAATGCGCGCGGGCATCGAGGCACTCTAGCGCGGACGATTCAGGGCTGCCATCTAGTTTGGTGGTATACTATGCTCTCAGCCATGTCTCCGGTGACGGCACAGACGTTTTGAGACACCTTCTGAAAAAAGAGTGAGATAAGTCCCTTACAGGACATCTAGATACATGTATCATAATTATTCTCAATACAGTTACAATAGGTACTGGCACCACTTTTCGAGGTTTAGTTTACTGTGCCATACAAGCCTCCTGTATACCGAGACGAGCCTCAAGTGTGAGGCTCAGTAAACGTTGAAGTCGGTTTACGTATGACGCACCCACTGGCATCAACACCAGCGTGACGTCATATTTGCTTATGCGTCATAAACGGTGTGCATGGAAACAAGTGGCCGAAGAAACGAAACAGCACCTTGCGCAAGAAGCTCATACCGTGTCGTGACGTCAGGGTACAGTAGGAACCAAGTGGCCAGTGGAACCAATTACTTAATTTTAATAAAAACAGACAAATTACTCTTTCTATGACTTCCTAATGTTTACCAGTACATTTCTGGGCTCTCGAGGGGTTTAGCCTTTGACCCTAGGTAAGAAAAAAAGAACACTAAACAATTTTGTATCACTACCAAGGGGGTCCGTCACACTTTTTGCAGGGGGGGGGGCAGTCATCTATAGTCTGGGGGGGCAGGGGGGGTCATCTGGGAGGGGGGGGGGGGCATTTGTTTCACTTGAGATTAGTCGATAGCGCGTAAAGTGAGAAATTGAATGGAATTTTTGAAGGCCAGACAGGGGCAGATTCATATCGTCATTTTAGGGGGGAAGGGGGCACCGGAGAGGGCGCGGGGTCCTGGCTAATTCGTTTTTAGAAGCACAAAAGCCATTCCATAGCATAAAAGGCACTGTTATGCGTGCCCAATGCTGTCCAACTCGTTTCTCTTAATTGGATATAGGAGGTGGAAGACAATAACTGGAAAGAGGAAGGCAATCTCCCCCCCCCCCCCCTGGATTCGCTTTTGAGGCCAGGACCGCGGTGTGCTAAGCAAGCTATGTCAAGCTATTGCTCCTGCACAGGAAATTATCTATGAATACGAGAGGGAGGGCACCGCTCCCCCTTGCACCCCCTTGTGGATGCTCGTGACCAATGCCCCTTTATATACATCTATCGGGGGGGCCCGTTCGCAGCTGGCCCGCATCCCCAACCTGCTTGTTCGGCGCCTGTGCATTTCCGCTTCTGCGTTCCGGGCAACGACACCAACAGCTCGCAGTACTACAACTACGCCGACTACTGCCTCGATGTGGCCAAGGGATCGTGCCTACGCGGCAATGGCTTCGGATCCAAGGCCGAGTGCGAAGACAAGTGCAAAGGTGAGCACGCTGCGGACATTCTCGAACTGCTTTTCTTATTAGTAAATTAATGTTTCATTAAATCGAAAAGGCCAAGCTTAATTGCTGCGACAACACACTTGATAAGCGCCAAAACGCGCCAGAAAGTGCGGGTGGCGACGCCACATTAAACTTCCCGCACCAGACGTCGTGACGTCATAAGATTTTCACGGTGTCCGCTAGGCCTACATAACTCCTAATCATCAGAAGTGAAATACATGGTCTTCTGATCAATTCAGACATACAGCACCAAACTTCAAAAAAATTTTGTCGAGCCATTGCGGTCAACATACGTGCTAAACACTTAGAAACCCGCAACGTCACCATCACAGGTTTCGGCAGGAAGTTGAAACTGAAACATTCGACATCAGCTCCCTCATGAAATCATCGATACTAAAGTTATCATGGTATAATTCATCAAACTAATTTAATATTTCGTTTTAGCGTCCTTTAACCTCCTTTTCGGGACTCATGAAGCGGATGTATTGTACGCGTCAGTTTATCTCTATATTCGTTTGATCATCCTGCACAACTATACAAAACCAACATACGTCGATATAACGTACACACGTACGACAAAAGTGAAACGTGTTGCTTGTCTATAGTCGGTTCATACTTACTAATACTGTACAGTGCAACTTTCAAGACAAAGAAGCGCTGTTCTGCGTGTTGATGTTCTTGCTTTGTCTCTCTTTTTTTTTTAAGCTGATAACCAGTATTCGGAAGTATACAATCTGAGAAATCAAGATAGGCCCAGTCAGACGAGCGAAGCACGGCAGCCGATACCTCAGCGAATGAGGAATATTCCCGCTCTTGCTCTCGGTAACGTTCGCTGCAGGCGGGGTCAAAGGCCGTCATTACGTCCACTGTGCGAGCTTGGGTGCATCCGCCTTGAACATATGTACATCAAATCAACAAGTTTAATCGAAATCATTCCAGAATTGAAACAAAAAAAAATTAGAGCCCATCTCTCTCCTTAATTATTGACGATGCCTCAGTGGCCACAGCAGCCTTTCTCTTTAAACAATGGCGGGACAGGTCCGACCGAATAAAGGAGTACATGTGGCAGACTATATAGACCTTTTTAACGGAGAGGAGGATCCCCTCCTTTCTGGGATGTTGCATGCGAGTACAAAAGCTAACGTCACAGCTTCGGCCCTGCATTTCTTGGGGGTCATGCACGTTAATAGCCCAGAGGGGCTAGTGGTCGCACCAAGGAAGCCTTCGTTGACAAGGTGTATATGCGCTCCCGCCTTAGATGAGGGAAGGGGTACCCCCTGTCCCCTCTCCCCTGTTTGCACTCCCCACTCGCGGCCTCCGCGATTAGCTCCAACAACGCGCATCGTTGTAACGGCACGTTGCAGAAACCAATCTCGGAAGCCACGCTCCCCTAGCGGAGGTCAGTGCTATAGTGGCTAGATAGGTAGGGCAGTGCTGCCGACAGCAGACAGCTCGCCACTAGACGGCGCAGGCAGCACTATCGCCCCACGCTCGCATGGTGGGTATTATTTTGTGACCTACTGTACGTCATCTCTATGTGCAGGGGAGGACAATGATCCGGCCCAGTGCTACAACAACGACGTAAGCCTGTGCACCATATCGGAGCATTTGTACCCCATTGCTTTCATCGGGGGACGCTGCGAGCAGCGGGTCAACATTTGCCCACAGTCCGTTGGCTTCACTAGCATCAACCACTGCGTCAAGATGTGCCGAAGGTCAGATGCATTCCGCGTATATGCATGCGTCTGTTTCGCTAGCAGTGACGTCACTGAAACCGCCATGTTGGTGCATCAACATGGTGGGGCTTGAGATTGTGGCGTCTAAAGTGCCTGGATATTTTAGCACTACTAAGCCAGGGTGTACCACGGCTCCACTGACGTACTTCCGTCACGGAAGTGACGTTGTAAAAATGCTTGACTTATGGTTTTTTTTCTTTCCTATTCCTTAGTATATAAGTCAAGCACTTTTTGCGCGGAATCGAACCAGGAACCACCAGATTCTCAGCGCGCGGCAGCTATCCACTACGCCACGAAGCGCACGTCGTTTGGAATGCTACATGCAAACCATTTATATGCACCTTACCCCGTTTGGCAGTCCGACGAGCTTTGAAACTTTTGCGCGTTTTTGTTAGCTGTGGCGAGACGGCGTAATGGGCGCATGTTGGACGCACCCTAAAAGTCGTCGCCTCCACTGGTCTCTCCTGCGCCCGCGCTTATCAAAATCGTAATTCAGGAGAGAACGAAGGTCACTTCGCACGCTACCGCAGCCGCGTTTACAAAAGGAGCGCGCTGCTCAACACGACGCAGGAAGAATGGGGACAGTTGTTCGCGCTTGTCCTGTGTATACTTGTGCGCTCGTTTCGTGCGCATTTCTTGCCATTTGAACGGCGTGTTTTAAGTGTCGAGCTGTGACAGTTGTCCCTCATCCTGTGTATGCTGATTTCGTGCGTGCGCTACAAGTTCCGAGCTGCTTGCCGTTCTTAACATGACTTGAGGCTCGACCTGGTGCGAGAGGATATATAGGAGGAAAGCGTCGGAGTGCAGGAGGGTGTCGCCACTTTCTATGTCCCTTTCATGCCCGAATTGAGATGAACTGTCCGTGAATGGCTACATTTTGCTCGATGTTACCATTCCAAAAAAAGAAAATTAGGAAAAGCCCTGTTCTTAGGTAAGCTTTGCTAATTATTCCTAATTTGAATATATTTACATATTTAATTATTCTGCAGTCAGTCATGTTCAATGTTTACAGATAAAAATGGATATCTTAGGCCCAAATTTCGTTTTTGGTTGTGTTCATTTTGAGCAAAGAAATATAATACTTATGAAGTTGGTCCTGGAACGCGGCACTACAGGCGACCCGTCGAACATTGCAGTGCTTTCACTAAAACAATCAGCTGCAGAATTACGCAGCACATTGGGTTGAATCAAGACGCGTTGTCTACGTAGAAGGTTCGATTGATCTTGTGCGCAGTGTATCTTGCCCTTCCTTTCTCACTGGTTCGAGAAACTGGCAAAATAAAGTTGCGTTCACATATGTGGACACTGCCCCTGAAGGGGATATCAAGGGGTTTTAGTGGTGTCACGTTAAAAGGGCCCTGCAGCACTTTTTCAGAATCGTCACAAAAAGCTGCCGATCGGGAGTTGGGCTCCTGAGAACACACGAATTAAACATTCCAGCGCAGCACGCGGCCTAGAATGCGCCATTGATTATCAAAGACAGCTTGGAATCGTTCCCGCTCTTCTCGACAAACCATGCCATAAACCCGAATGGCCACGCCATAAACCCAAAGTCTACAGCCATTGGCTGATTTGAGCGTAGCGGGTTGCATAGTTACAGCAGCCACCACGAAATGGAGCAACATGCTCGTGACCACACTGAAAGTAAATCACATGTTCGCAAAAAAAAAAAAAAAAGAGTGCTCAAGGCCATAACGTGCGCTGAACAAGGCACGCATTTCCTCGCTCACTTGTAATTACTCCCCTTTCCCTTCACGTACCTTTCTATGCGCTCGCTACGAAAAGGAAAAGGGCGATAAATGTCCGTGACACCTGCTGGCGAATTATTGCGACAGTCGATTCGCAGGGCAATAAAGCTCTGTAATGAAAGCATTCGATGATTGCTTAGCAGCTGTGAATGCTACGCGGTGTGGCGGCTTAACTGCCACACCTTAAAGTCACAAAAGCCACCATTTCGAAGCAGCAAAGCCACCATTAAGGATCTGGGTGCATGGCGTTGCGTGCAAGCTGCAATAACTAACAGTGTAAATAATCAGCTCATTTGAACAAAGTCTAGAGCAGTAAACTCACATCGCTATAACTGTAATTATGAGAACTAACAGACAATGATACAAAGTGAAGTACAAATGAAGAAAAGTGGACTCAAAGATAACTTTTTGTCCACTTTTCAAAACATAAAAGACAAGTGGGCAAAAAGATAACGAAATTAACTGAACAGCCAATTCACCTCCTTATATGAGCTATATTTCCTTAAAGTAGTGCTGACACAGATTTGAAATATTTTTTGGTAGTTGCTCTAAATAGAAACACTAGTGTTAGGAAACTCTACTAAGTGTATTGTGGTACCTGGGAATTCATCCAACACATTGTTCATTTCGCTACCCTCAAAAAACACTTTCGGTGTCAATATCGAGGCGGCGACTTCTCAGTGACGTGCCACTGCAGCGTGACGTCACTGGGCGACAGAAAACAATTCGAGACTTATTAGCGGATGATTCGTCATCTGCCCGTAGTGCACGTAGACGATGAGTGATTCGTTGTCTAGTGGCCCTGACAGTGACTTCTGCTATTCAAGCGGCATGCAGGACGCAGAGTTCACAAAGTCAGTGGAACTGTGCTGACTTGTCGTCAGGATAATAGTCATTGCAGTGTGACTGGCTTGTCTATTCTTGGGACTGAAAACTTGAAAATCAAATACCTCGAGTGTTTGGCCGAGTAGGTAGCTCACTGTCACAAAAATTTCCCTAGGGCAAGAAAGAGCACGACTGGATCGAGAAAGAACTGAGACCAACAGTGTTTGTCCACGCCAGCTCTCTTTTCATCTGCTAAGGGTTGTTTTCCGTGTTGTTGAAATGTTGCTGACGTCAAACATCAAAGTAAGCTATTTTATACATGCTCCAGCACCTGGAGAGAGCTAACAGTGCATAGCAAGGAAACAAAAAAACGTCCCTTTTACGATGTCTTTAATTGGTGTCAGCACTCCATAAATAAGAGCGATATACTGTGGCTTGTAGGGGGGGGGGGGGGGTCAAATGTTTCAATTTTGCATGTGTATACAAACACGCGCTCACACAGATGCACGTTAATATAAAGTGATTGAAACCCCTCCCCTCTACCCCCTAAAATTCTGGCCAAGTCCGCGAGGGCAATGAGTGTTCATAGCTACCAGTGCACGCGGTTCAAGTCCGCCCTGTGGTAATGTAAGTGCAAGATGGGTGCTAGTCTGTAATGATTGATTTTGAGTCTTACCGTGAAAAATTATTGGATGAGAGATGCAGAAGGCACGAGACATTAGTACAAGCTTTTAGTTTCAACGTTTACGTGCAAACTCCTGGGCATATACATATATGAACATATGAGAATGCACGTGTCGGCGAGCTGCACACTGTTCCTTTGGATTTCTGTCTACAGAGATGTTCTGCCACGGCTGTGGAACAGCCGTCTGAGCGTTCAAGCGTCCTATATAGACTGCTAAGCAGGGACCCAATTGGCATCTCTTTTGCATATACTTTCAGTTACTATCATTTGAACCAACAATTTTCGTTTTTACTGCGTCTGGTGTTTTATTCAGAAGACGCCACACTCAGCAGTTGCTAAAGTTACGTTTGGCATGTATTGAAACCTTTCTCTCTCGCAACTTTTCCAATGCCACTAACTGGTCTGTGTTACCTTGGGGGGCCAGTAAATACAAGTTAATGTCAGCTGATTTGCAGTGAACCCATGAGCCAACATTGCTCTTAGCACTATAATCTTCTAGGAGAAAGTTATTGCTACTTTAGAGTTGTAATGTTCGTATTAAATGGATATCTTTAAGAAGACTGATATGAGCGAGACCAATGCAGCGTCAAGAGTAGTGCATTGTACATCACCCACAAAAGCTGATAGAGGAGCCGCGTTTGCTACCATTTGGACATAACTTGAAGGGGCCCTGCAACACTATTTGAGCATGGTCAGAAAACGCTGCCGATCGGTACTAGAGACTCCCGACAACACGCGGGCCAAATATTATAGCACAGCACGCGGCCTGGAACTCACAACAAATTATCAAAGTCAGCTGAAAATTGCTTTCTCTTCTCTCAACAAATGGCGGAATATGCCCAAAAATCACACGTAGTAAACCCATCTATCAGCCATTGGCTGATTTGAACATGGCACGCTCGCTTGTTACAGAGATTGGCGCTAAAGGCCGCTACTTGTGCGCGCACGCGGGACCACACTGAAAAAGATGCGCATTCTAAGAAAAAAAAATGAAAAAAGTGCTCAAGGCCATGAGGCGCGTGTGAACTTTTTCTGTGGCCCTGCCATCTCTCCCTGCTTAGCTTCCAGCGCTTTCGTCGAACGAGAGAAGAGAGAATGCATTGCAGCATGTGACAAACTTTTGTAACTCCAGTCACACTGGGGGGGATTCTTAAAATGTTTGCGGTGTTGAATTCGTGAGGCAGTAAGCTCTTCCGAATTCATCCCATAGTTACTTGAAAAAGTGTTGCAGGGCCCCTTTAAGTTACTGCTGACATAACATTAGAAATTAGACATAATATAGAAACATGCCTTTCCTTTCTCGTATCGAAGGTTATTGCAAACTGGACATAACTTTGGAGACTGCTGATATAACATTAGGCATTTCCTTTTTCGTATAGAAACTTATTGTGAAAATTGAGCGGTGAGCGATTACATTGTGTGGCATAACAAGTACTGCCGCTACTTTCAATTGCAGAATAACCCCCGTGGTCCCCAGTGTCGAACCGGTCCTGTGAAGTGCCGCATTTGTCGCACGAACTCGCGCGCACTCATCGGTGTGGTGCCAAGCAATGACCTTCAGTGCAACACTGAACGTCCATTTCTCACTTCTTTTTTTTTTTCTCTGCAGTATATATCCGTGTACATTTTGAAATTGTCAGTTTGTGCTGGTATATACATAAAAAACTGATATGAACACTAACACTGCACACCAACCCCTTAGCACATAACAATAAAACACTCAGTTAGGAAATCCCTAAAGTTAGTTGAAAGTAACCTCCTAATATACATTTCTGTGTCCATACTGCAAGATCCTCACATTTCCAAAAGCATGAATTCAAAACTTAACATAACAATCGTAGATTCAACACAGTGAAACAAATATCATGCATTTAATTTCTAAAGTTGCAAGATGTACTCAATAAACCTAACTACTCAATAAACCTAACTATCTCTCAACAAATGTGACTGCTATGCTTTTTCTGTCATATCCGAATCGTTCGTCAGATAACGTCCACAGGGTTTCAGTGTGTGCTCCCTTCAGTGAAACTATAAGCCATAGCATAGTGCATTCCACCTTTGCCATACATGAAACGGTATACTATGTCTACTTGCCGTTTCAAGTCTCTTAATTATAAGCATAAAAGATTTCCCATAATCGCGCATAGAGCTGGAAGTGTACATACTTCCACGATTTTCGTTGCGTAAAGAGGCCAGTTATTTTTTTCTTTTTTTTTTTTGTTTTGCCGAGATTTACCTCTTGAACTTTGAGCACTGCTCAGGTAACAAGATTTCAGTATGTTCCAGTGAACACAAGACTTTTATTGTTAATTTAGAGACCTTCACTGTAACGACTCTACTACGCATAGCTTGCCAAATGCTGCACAACCAATCAACGAATCAGTAGTTGCCACACAGGTGAGCCACCGCCAGTATTTTAGTATAACAGCAGCCAGGGCTTTATGCAAGAGGTCCTTTCAGCAAAATGTACAAGTCCACACGTCTTGCACTTTGATTTCGTTGTTGTAAACGTTTGCTCAATGAATGGCTCCACCCCACAACCTATTGACATGTGTATAACTAACAGGCCCTGTTTATTTCCAAGGCACACAGCATCTACATTTATTACTCAGTCTAAAAGCAGAAAAAATTTGAAATAGCATTGAAGTAATAAAATCACTGAACTATTTCTTGGTGCAAATTCAGCAAGAAGTCTCACTAGCTTCCACAGCCTTGCACCTGATGCGTGAAATGAAGTTCGTAGTGAAATGTACAACCTGGATGGCTGTCTCCCCATTTCAGCGAGAACCAATACCCCTGGTGGGCCAGCTCATGTGACCTGTTCGACATCGGCGACGCCGCGGACTTGAACTCTATGACCGTATACAAGTTGCTCAATTCCATAGCCCTTCTTTCACTGTCCGCCAGTGAACACGCTGACAACGTGAGGCGCAGGTTTGTCGAAGTCGTCTTCTCAGACTCCGAGTTCGAGGAGTCCGTGGCCCATTTTAGACAGCCGTGGCTGCCGGAAATTCCAACGGATCAGTTGGATGAGTCCACAATGCCAGAGGAGGCCTACCGAACGGTGTTCCACACGGCGTACAACTGCTTGCAGTATTACGAGCTAGCCGTGGGTCAAGCTGCGTTGGAACAGATCAGATTCCACAAGCCCTTCCAGGAGATGTTTGGTGAGCTGCACCAGGAGATGATTCAGCTTCTCTGCAAGGTGCTGCTCGGCATGGAGCACTTCGGAGTGGAGTTGGGGCCAGAGGTGGAGCGGAACGCGATGCCCGCTGAGTTGAAGAACCTGGAGCACGACAACCAGCGCAACCTGCGTGACTACCTCACCCTGCGCGACTACCCGCAGCTCGCGCGGCGCCTCTCCGAACTTTTTGTTCACCTTCGCGACCGTTACTGACGGTTCTTTCACGGACACTTGCACCAAATGCAACGTGCCACGTTCCGATTCCTCTCTGCTTATGCACTTCTTGATGGGCTGTGGCAGAACTCTATCCACATTGCGACTTGTACACTTTCCCAGATTCGGAATCCTTCAAGATTACTCCGGCCCTTCAGAATTATTGCTAGTTCTGCACATTCATGACTTTTTTTTTGTACCTGTCCCTTGAAAGAAGCTTAGCATACTGGCAGGTGCTATCTAAATACGTGGCATTAGAAAAAAAGAAGGTAATTTGCCCAGTGTTCACTGCTTCGAAAATGAAGCTGCATTGAGCACAAAGAAAAATTCAGGCTTCATACAGAAAAAACCAGGTTTGAAGCTTAAAAAAAAAAAGGTCATTTACAAGCCTGCCATTAGGGATAGGAACCCAGTGAATGACGCCCGTTTGATGACTGGACATGCCAAAGTCGATCTCGTGCGTCAGGCTTTGAAATGTGTCACCAGTACTCCAAAAGCGCCACGTTTACAAAGGCTTGTGCAGTAAACGAAATGATTTTATAATTAGTACTATGTATCTTGTGTCAAATTTCTGTTAGAGCTGAGCAAATAGCAAAATTTTGGGTGCAAAGTGAATTCGAATAATAAAGTTTGAGTGCAAATCAAATCTAATCATTTTTTAATATTTCTCAAATACTACTTCGAAGCAAAAGTTGCTGAGGATCTTTAAGCATACTCTTATGTAGGATAGGAACACTAAAGTGTTTGTTTTGGCTAGGTCGATCAAGTACTGGAGGGGTACTATGTCACGTTCCCCAAGTGGCTTATAAAGATAGACAAAATGCTGATGCCAATCATTCTATAACCCGTTTACCGATACCAGAATATCTTTAGTGAAAACCGTGTGGAAGTGCGGTAAGAATTTGTTGTGCCTGACACGGTGGCAAGAATTATTACGAAAATTGCAACAAAACACAACCAAAAAAAAAAATCGCTCCGCAATAGTAATACGGGGCACTGCCATTTTGAGCCTCGTCGAAAAGAGCATCTTTCTGTCTTCAGACTTCCCGCCTCAGCTGGGTGTTCCATCTTGAAACAAGCGCACAATAAGGAAATGTTTCGAGCTCATTTCAAGGCTTCTGATTGGCTGCATTGGCATTGTTGCTCCAGCACGAGTCTCCATTGGCCCAATACTCGCTCCGGGGGAGTGTCGTCTGCTTGCTCGTTGCGAGGTCGTGGCTGCCGAAAATTGCGCTACTGAGTAACGCGTTTGCAGTCTTCTTGTTTTGTTCACGGGTCAACGATAATTTAGAATATAATTACACTTAAGTTTTGCAGCTGCAAGCAGAAGCTCAATTCTCAGATTATGATAGCGTGATGTGTTCATCGCAAACATCGGAGATGCACATCTCTCTGACTCATCGGACTCGTGATTAGATTGACCTTCAAGACGGGGCCATCGTGAGACGACTGTTTGTACTTGTGATTGAATGTGACGTACTACTTTGAAACACTGGACACCACAACCACCAAAAGGACTTGTTTTTGGGCTAGTTGGTGCATACTTGGTGCAGAAGACTTTCTTCTTCTCTTCTGCTCTTCCTTCTTCACGAAATGTTTTTGCGCCTCAGTCTTCTGCACCACAACCGCGCATACCGAAGCTGAGCTTACTACTAAGAGTCCTAGCTAGGCCTAACTCCCCTCACAGCACTGACGCACGAGACGAATCTGAACTTTGCGGGCAAGAACATCACACTAGCAGACATGCAAAGGCGAAGGAGCCACAGTGGGCTTTGTCGCAAGCAACGAATTGCAGTTCTAGCAGACTCCTTGAAACTGTGAACGGGCATTTCACTCATTGGCAGCAGACCTCGTGCCAGGACCATCGCGCAGTGACTGCTCGAAGCACCGATGGAAATGGTTTTGCATGTCAGCATCCCTAAACACAAGAACAAGCACAATGCATGCCGACTTATCATTTCCTTAAGTTTCCAGAAGTTTGAATACCTACTCCGAATGGTCACATTCCGGTGCGAATCAAAAGCAAACACTATTAAAAAAACACCCGCACACCCCTGCTCCGCACAAAAATCCACACACCCCTGCTCTCATTGTTCCTCAGATGTAGTTTAACGAACTGCAGGACCTGCTTCTGTTCAGACATAGTATAAGCCATGCCACCTCTAATTTTGCACACAGAACTTTATTTGAATTGCCTCAATGAGTAAGTTTATTTTGATTCCTATAGGGTTTTAATCCTGAGCATTACATTTCATGTAATCATGCATAATGAAGCGTATTTGCATATTTTACTCCTTATATTTGATAAATAACTTTCTAGCTGCTACTTTCGGTTTACAGTAAGATTTACCTCTCGAGATCTAAGCAAAAACAGGTACCAAGATCTAAATGCAAGTTAAAGCCTTCGAATCAAACAAAATTAATTCAGACCTTCATACAGTGTACGAGAGTATGGCTAATCCCTAAAGATAAATCAGTGGGTGTTTTTCACACAACTTAGCTCCCAACAGAGCTTTATTAATGCATCAAAGGTAGTTATGTTTCGGTACTAGCAAGCACATTGTCGGGTTAGTCTTCACAACCCCAGACAGCTCAGCACACGCAAAAGGATTCATGAGACAAACATACATACGGAAACACCTAGAAGTGACTATACAAGTACCTAACAATTGGAAGTGCTTATCTAAGGGTCGTCCTGACTATCCAGGGCTTTCACTTAACGCACTGCGACATGCTTCCAGCTGAACTTCTTCCTTGGTCTTCATCACCTTTTGAAGCTCCATCGCTTTTTCGCGAGCACGGCCAACGACATGCTCTGGAATCTTTGCGAGTCTGGCAACATTGAGTCCATAACTCTTCTCAGCTGCGCCGGGCTGTAGGCTGTACAGAAACGTCACTGCCTCTGAAAAAAAAAAAAAGAAACGTAAACAAAAATTTGACGAACCAGCTGTACTACCGCCAATACAACTTGGGAATATTACGGGATACTGAAAGGAAGCTTTCAGCTTGGGAGCTCTCAATTAAATCGTTGGCTGACCGCTTATCCCTAACCATCCTGAATATAGGGCACGACCTAACGAAACCAACACACTACAAAGCTAACTATAGGCATTACTTGTATACAACCACCTGTTTGTGGCACGAAGCCACAAGAAAATTAGTACGGATTTCCTTGTAGGTCTCTGCAGATCTCTTTTGCATCGCATTACTTGTATATTTCACTGTAGCATAGTAATTGTGACATAAATGGAGAAAAATTAAGATGAACAGGCAAACCAATTCACGCTCAAAAGCAGTCGCACCAATTTCAAACAGCTCCACATTGCATACGAATTTCGTCAAGCCCTACGACAACATGCGAGAAAATGGCATTCGCCTACTACTCACCTTCATGATCAACATCAAAGGCCGTGTGGCAGTTCACGACATTGTTAGGATGGAGATTTTTCATCCGAGTGACCGGTGGGTAGTGCGTCACGAACAAGGCCATGCACCGTTTCTTTGAACCAAATGAAGAAACAGACTTGCTCTTAGTTGTAGCACAGTTGAACCCAACTATATTTGGCTCAGGCAAATTGAACTATCCTTGATATCAAACGATTTTTGTCACAACAATGCTTTAACGTAAGTGCATAGAAAAATCTAAACAGACATCAAACGAAAAATCACGTTATATCACCGGAGTCAATAACGATGAGCGGGAGAAGCAGTGGGATCGTTCGGTGTTGCCGTAAACCACCCACGACATTGACCACTCACACATGTAAATGAGTGCCGAACGGTATACAGTCATCATCATCATCGTCGTCGTCGTCGTCGTCATCAGTCTGACTACGTCCACTGCAGGACAAAGGCGAAGGCCTCTCCCACGTTCCGCCAGTCAACTCGGTCCTGTGCTTGCAGCTGCCAATTTATACGCGCAAACTTCTTAATCTCATCTGCCCCGCCAACCTTCTGTCTCCTTCTAACCCGCTTGCCTTCTCTGGGAATCCAGTTAGTTACCCTTGATGACCAGCAGTTATCCTGTGTACGCGCTACATGCCCGGCCCATGTCAATTCTCCACTCTTGATTTCAACTATGATATCCTTAAGCCCGGTTTGCTCCCTAATCCACTACTATATATATATATATATATATTGAGCAGGACTGATAGTTGGGTGTACAAACTCACGGGACGAAGAAAAGAGACAGAAAAAGGCTGCGCTTGGTTGTGTCTCTTTTCTTTGTTCCGTGAGTTTGTGCGCTGGTACTGCCCGTAATATATATATTGTTTTGCCTTCATGATTACTACTTTGCGGTATCGTATCCAGCCTGAAGTAGGCAAAGACGAGGTCTAAGCACATTCCCTGGTGGTTGTTGGTTGCTTGCAGTTAAACGAAAGGCATCATACAGCAAAGCAAGACATCATCTACTGCACAAGACAGTCATTGTCCATGATCATCATCTTCACTGTCATCAGCATCATTGTTGCCATGTATAAACAAATTCTACTGAACTTACATCACGAAAATGCGGTGGCACTGTCTTGGTAGGCAAAAGACGCTCTGCTTACCACAGTTTCTGCTGTGTTTTCAATGGAGCATGTGGTATGTGTCAAGCAACGAGAAAAAGCGACATCAAGCAGCGAGAAAAAAAAAAAAAGAAACAGTATGCCGACGAGCTGCGTTGCAGTTGGATGTGAGTCGCGTCTCACAACTTCGTTTTGTTCGTTGGCACACATCGCAGCCCTCAGCGCTTATGGCGGAAGCTATGTGCGGATGTCGCTATAATTTTACATATAATGTCGACGTTGGACTACCTGTGTTCACAAACATGGAATGGGTCTATAGTAGACACCCTGCGTGTGCTGTGCGGTGATGGTAAAAAGATAATGTGCCGTCTGGAACATGCTTTTTGTTCATTGTCATCATCGACATCGTCAGCGGTGGCCACAGCACGACAAGAGGACAGGCCTCGTTTGAAAGCTGCTTTAAATCTAAAGAGCAGTCGGTACACTTGACATGTCGAATAATGGGGGAAACGGCCCAAGAAGTTGGCTTTTCCTCAGAATTTTTTTTAATGCATTAATTCAGGAGACTGAAGAAGACACTGCACAAAGTGAGCAGAAGCTACCACTTGGCATCATATGCTTTCCACACTGATGATTTCCTGTCGTTGCACCCCTGTCTTGCAGGGTCGACATTTACTTCTCCACTGGTTTGTTAGCACGATACACTCTAACATTATTTCAAGAAAGTTGCATATTACATAAAAATAAGTTCATTATTTTTCTAACCTTTTTCTTAACACTATGTCTATTGCAAGGCTATTCCTGATTTGACTTTGTTATAACCGATATTTCGTTATATGCAGGTTAGTTATATTGAGGTCTGAGCGTGGACGCCATAAAACAAAAGAACCTGCTATGCTCCACCCAGCTGGCAATAAATGACCCAGTCGAACTTAGAATAACAGAAGCCTTACGTTGCGGCAGAACACAGCAACCCAAAAAGCAGCTCGGCGAGATATTGAAAAACGACGCTGACATCAAGGCTACGGCAGACTAGACACTTTGACCACCCGATGGGTACACGCAAGTATGTATAAAGATTTTGACATGCTATTTTACACTGATACTATGTTCTCTCACGTATAACCTGCCCCCGCACATAGCCCAACATCCCCAATACAAACTGCAGAAAAACTCCAAAATCAAAAAAAAAAAATTGTCACGAAGGTATTTTTCATATGATATCATAAGGCGGTGCCATGACACCAACTTGTGCTTTAGGATCCACACACCAAGCACAATACTTTCAATTAAAAGTTGTAGTATATCAAATTATCTGATACCTATACCAAACTAGTTCACAATATTCAGTAAGTTTGACATATGCACTTTCGAGCACAGCAGCAGTAGCAAAAAGTGATAGTAAATAAAAGTATAAAGTACGAGTACTACGACTAGTTGTGTACGTGTCTCAACAAACAATTGCAGAACGCTTTCGCTGTAGCAGTAACTCATTCACATTCGATCCAGGACCAAATGCAAAGTATTTACACTATGAATGCAATAAAGAATGCCGAGTTCTCCCAATCTATGTAATTAAAGCTGGTTTGTTAAGTTACAAAAGAACAGTCACCGTGTTCCACACTCGGTCATGTCGTAGGCTATATTGTTTTTCATTTTACTCGTGGCTCAACTAGGCTCACGTTCAACAGCTATGACAAATTGCACAAAATGGCCAAGCAGATACAGGCGGCAATTATTTCAAAGATATTGACATGTTTTGCAAGCCTTGTTTGCTTCTCCCCTTAATGTAATCACACAGGTGGCTAACGTCAGGGTCATCATTTCTAAATGAAGTTAGTTGTGATTTGCGTGACAGCATGCCAGGAAAATTATATTTAATGCCATTCAATGAAAACCACGTTACCTTTGTCGTTTTCACGAGTCAGAAGGCGCTCGCTGTTGAACCAAACTGATTGTAATACTATATCCGCCATTAACCGAAGTGTTTCCCTCGAATCTTAGGATCACAAAGACATGACAATGGCAAAAAAATATGCAAAATATCTTGTCGTACTAAAGCGTTTCAACCGTCTTCCTTTTCCCCACAACACGAAAAAATGAATTGAACTATCTCATGTGGTGGCGTTGAATAAATAATGAAGAGTTCGTAAGCATCTTACCGCAACAGATTTGTGAAAGCGCGTAGTACGTATTCTGACTTTCAAAACCTGCACTCTTGGTGTGATTACTTCGTGCCTTGATTATTCGTGTGTTTAGATTGTAACAATTATTCGACTTTTTCTTCTCCTCTGTTAAATACCCCTAGAACAATGCCTTCGGGCAATTGTAGTATCATACAAAACAAACAAATACACAAATAAATAAAAGGTAGAATGCGGTAACCGACCTCTTCCACGATGTGGCGAAGCGTAGCCCAAGCAATGGCGGTGCCGTCGTGCGTGGCGGTGCCTCGGCCCAGCTCGTCCACGATGACGAGCGAGTGGTCGGTGCATCTGTCCAGGATCTCTGTGGTCTCCAACATTTCGCTGAGGAACGTGCTTCGCCAGCGAGTGATGTCGTCCTCAGCACCCATCCTGTTTCAGTCGCAAAAGCGCGGAAAAAAAATAGCAAAAGTTATGCCAGGCGAAGGACATGAGCAGAAGTAAATATGCGTAAGAACCATTTCAGTACTATGTTCAACTACTCCGAATGTCTGTTGGAGTCTTAAACTAAATGATACCACCTGTACACAATGGATTAACTGGTATATGAAAGTTTGATGGCGTATCGTCCTGTGAATTAATGTTCTTGTTTCAAAAAATGGAATGGAGGTTTCATCATTAGGGTATTTTTGCAAGTGTCCAGAAACTAATATTTTGCCTTTCGCTTTGTTTTAACTCTCAGCCGACTGCTTCAAATTTTGAGAAGGTACAACACCAAACAAATTATTTTATAACCTACACTCAAACCTCATTATAACAGTCACATCTGCTCCCAAAATAACTTCATTATATCCGAAAATTCAAAACTTTATCTGTAACACTGTAACACAAGACTTCTTCACTTGCTTCATTATAACCGATGATTCGATACATCCGCATTCGTTATTTGAGGTTTGAGCATAATATATTGTTCTTTTCTGGTGTTCCCACTAACTATAAAAAGATGAGATTACCTGTCATGCCTGCTCAATATCTTGTCATTTTCCTAAGGATGTATTCTGCTACCCTGTCAATAAACGCTAGATCGAAGTGGTGCTGCATTTGCTGCATTCCATCGCTTGATTTCACAAGTTTAGGATCAATTATGCACTAACTCATGCTCACAACCAAATTAAGCACAATGCGAAGTGCGCACATCACTTGAAATGACTTGCACATTAATAAATTACTCAATTGAAGTTCAGCACCTGCGCTGTATGTATCGTAGTCTGCTTGTCCGTGTTGCTTAAATATTGCACTGCTGTTCAGAAGATGATTCAAGATCACATAAATGATAAAACAGATTTTTTTTTTTTTTTCACTTTATCAGACTATCAAGATGCACATTTCAAGCAGCGTTCTTTCCCACTTCCAATCTACTCTTCATTTCCCCGCATGATATTTCTCAATACAAAAATGTTATTTAATCATCCCTTCTTGAAACTTTTGATTCTGTCCTGCTATGATGATAACGGGAAAATCAAAGGAAAGCGAAAAGAAAAGATTAGGAGAAAGCGTCTGAACAGGTCTATCTTGCATGGCTGTACTTGAAAACATCAAGGTACGCCAACTTTTATACAAACACAAAAGTGTTAAGTATTTTAGATGAGACACTCAACGCTCCCATTTATCAAACACTCATACTTGAACAGAAAACTTCCCCACTGCAACAGCCAAATTAAGATTCGGAACGCCCTATGGTGAATCTCGCATAGCTGACCTGATGTAGACGCCGTCGATCAGGCTGATGGCTGCTGATTCGGCCGGCACGTAGGAGCCGAGATGCGCCATGATGACAACAAGGGCCACTTGCCGCATGTACGAGCTCTTGCCGCCCATGTTGGGGCCGGTGATGATGCAACAGCGCATGGTTCCCTGGGACGGCGCGACCGAGTGTTGCGATCACTATGAGAATTATCACTACACAAATGATGAGAAGTTGACTAAGTGCAGAAAAAGTGCTTCAGAGTCTCCTTTCTCCTTGAATGATGATATAAAACATCGTCGCTAACTAGTTCTACACTGAAGTTGTTTTAAGTCTACCTTGCCCCATTGTTGTAGTAGTGGTGATGCTAGTAATAGTAGTATGCATCGGGCAGTCCACATGACTAAAAGAGAGAGCAAATAAAGAAATAAATGAAATAAATGAAGTGTAATAATAGTGAGAATGATGATGCTGACTTTCAAAAGTGTACAATATACCGAGAAAGTAATTCACACTTTCATGAGTTACATTATTAGAAATTCAAAATAATTGTGCATTTTCATTAAATACATTAGTTATAGACTTACACTAACTGTAATAAACCCCAGAAGACAAGGCACCTCGGTGCACAAGATAGTCATAGAGATGACGGGGAACTAGGCAGGATCGCGCCTGCGCAGGTGGAAAATCATGTGACGCGGGCGGCTCAATGAAACGCTATTGCAAGAGCCAGCAGGTCACGTGATCGCGCTAAAAATTATGTGGCACAACACATTTGCTGAAATGCAATTGCTCGAGGCTGCAGGTCACGTGACCTCGTCTTGTGCAATCAAGTGTAGGCATGAATATTCCAAATATAGCAGTAGGTTTACAAAACCGCACAATTTCGAAACCCATATGCTCCTGTTTCATGGTGCTCACGGCGTCAAACTGGCTTAATTCTTTGCTGAATGGTTCTTTTTTCCTGCACCTACAGAGTCTGATAACCCGCCTCAAGACACCGTCACCATCGCTTCATCATCAGCTTTTGAAGACAGCATTGGCGATCACCTTCAATACATATACACTCAAACCTCTATATTATGAACCTAGACATAACAAAATATTGGTAATAATGAAGTAAATGAAAATAGTCTTGCAACAAACATAGTGTTTGCAATATACCTTTGTAACGAATTTTCGGATATAACGAACTTAGTTTCGTGTAAGATTCAACTTTGATATAATGAGATTTGAGGGTACGGTTTTTGCGGTTTGTTCGTTATTCTAAGCCCTACTGCTTCAGTAATATCCCCGAGAAATGGACCTTCAGGGCAGTACACTCAGCTAATTGAACAAAATAAAAAAACTTGCAGAAAGAGCGGTTCCACAACTGAAAAATAATTAAGTTCTTGCAAGTTGCGTCCCCTGCAGTCACAACTGACAAAACCGAACTGTGTATGCAAATGCATATGCAGCAAGCACTTCATGTACGTGCAAAGTAGAGCCTGTTACGTACAAAAACAAGAAAGAAAAAATAACTATTTGAAACAGCGATTTCCCGTACCGCCCCATACCATCACGAGTCGTCCTCGGAAACATGCTGCATCCGCCCTAATAATATGAAGCCAGCTCACTTGATCGTGCAATGCCGCGGTCTGCTTACATTGAGGTCAGTGTCGTTGCTCACGTACTGCTGCTGCGCACAACTCAGCTCCAGCACTGGATGCCTTCCCTGGACAATCCGGATCGTAGGCGGGTCTTTAGGCAGCATCTGCGGCCTGAGGCAGTGTTCAGTTTTGCACATTAATAGCAGCACGTGCGCTGATACCAACAAAAAGAAAAATCATGCATAATCTCCGTCAGGAGTTATCTAAGCAATGGTAATGATCACGTTTTAATGCATGCAGCAGCAGTCTTTGAAATGCCATTTTTGAGCAGCACCAGCACGGCGTTGTTCATTTTCTCTGTAGCCCTCGTAAGCTCTTCATCTTCTATCTATCACTCATGCGTGCACTATGGGATGTTGTGCTGTAACACAAGCAATACTCCCCTTTGTAGTGTGAGGTCCCTGGTACAAGCACAAGCGCCGTAGTTAAAAACTATTCTCTTTTCTCCATTTGTGGCTGAGCGACACATTAGTGGCAAAGCAACATGCACAACAAAAAGCACACGGGACGGATTTCAACAGGGCAAATACGATGCAGATCGCTAAGCCGTCATGAATCAACTAGCCCCATTCATCGAATCTGTTCATTTATTCACAGCAATCCTTTCATGTGACTGATGGACGAATGGACGGTTTTCTCATTGAGTTGGCATAGAAATGCTTACAGATTTCAAAGGACACAAAAGAGAAATAATGAGTTGGTTTAGATTGATAAACATTCCTCTCAGATCTCTTATGTCACAAGTTTCACTGTGATAGCCCATAAGTTCATTATTAGCGGAGAAATCAAAGCTGAAGTTTCTTATTAGATTTCATGCAGAAACTTCCGTGCATGAGATCACTAAATTCGAATTTGATTTTTTTTAACTTTCACGACATGGGCTGGATGAATTTCACTGAAACTTGGTACGTTAGGTCTATGGCATCCACAGATGACAGCGTACAGTCAACCAAATATTTAGCTATCGTGCATGAGTGGCAGTTTTTTTTCCGTGTATCTTTGCCGTACGACTGAATTAAGTTTAAAAAAAAAGCGTGGACGATTGTATGCCCACAAAGCACATGTCCACAAAGCAATTTTTTTGTAACTTCGCTCCATAATACAGTGCTGAGAGACAAAATAGTAGGCGCTGCGCGCAATGACTAAAGTTCTGGTCGGCTGTACTTGATTTTTACCAGTTAGATAGAAATTACGTATGATGCAGTAGAATCCGTCAGAATCTATGAAGTCACTGTCTCTGGTGCAGGAATCTCCAGGTGCTGTCTCCACCGCTTTTTCTTTTTGAATGTTATCTCGCTTACCAAGTGCCGTGTCAAGGTAAGATAGGTGTTTCCGGGAATGTGAAACTGTACTTTACTAATACGTGACAAATCTCTTTAGCTTCCCTGTAGTGAGGCCTAAAAACACTTTTCCAAGTAACCATCGAATGGGTTTCTTGGAGTTACGAATGAACTGTCACAAAAATATTTAGAAAACGTCAAGAACGAGCGGGGTCGCAGAAATTTGTTGAACGCTGTGCTTGCTTTCTCTCTTCCCTCAACCCGACAGGCCTGCTAGAAACTAAGCAGAAAGAGATTGCCCAGGAGAAAAAAAGACAAAGGGAAGCACTGTGACCTTGAGCACACTGTCTTTTTTTCCTTCAAACAAGTGGCTTACTTCCTGAGTGATCGAGAGCGTGAGCATGTGGCGACCGTGGTAACTGTGCAGGTCGCAATGCTCAAGTTAGCCAATGGTTACCAAGTTGGGTATATGGTGCAGTTATTTGGGTACATGGCATCATTTGTAGAAAGAAGAGTGACGAATTTCTAGCTGAGCCTGAGAATTGTGTATTTTAGGCCACAGGCAGCGCCATAACGTTCTGCCCGCGTGCTCTCGGAAGGCTCGACTACCCATCGGCGCTGTTTTCTGACCGCGCAGAAAGAAAAGTTTTGTGGGCGCCGTTTGTGCCGAGACAGCGGTGAAAATGGAAATTCGGATTAGAAGCTTGAGAATCTACAAGAAAGTATGAAACATAAACGTGCACTTGACAATCGGAGATTCAGCTCTCGTCAGTCTGACCTGCAATATCCGGCCTGGGAGGCGGTCTCGGCCAGCGAGAGGAAGCAGTCCACAGTGGCGATGCTCCTCACGGCCTGTTGGTAGTCCGTGTACCTCGTACTGAGCTTCCTGCAATGACGAGTCCTATAGTCACACTTCTCTGATGATCATACATTAAAGGGCCCCTAAACCCCCTCCGATATTTTCCCAAACGTTTCAAGTAAACAAGTGCATCACGTGCAGAATGCCGTCGCGATCAACGATGCCACGCGCTGCAGCGCTACAGGTAGTGGGCACGCCACAATTTCGAAAAAACAATGGCTTCTCCTTTCCGGTCCCCGCCACTCCCGCCACTGACATGTGTGACATCACCAGTGAAACTCGATGACGTCATCACTTTCGACGCTTGCGATTGGCCAACGACAACTGGCGACTTCCGGTCACTCTGCAAACAGCTGTTCGCGCGCATTTTGCTGTTCTTGGTCGTGTTGCCGCTTGCGAATCGACATCTGCGGCCCGTGACGCAACCGCCAAGTCGCTAGCATAGGGGCACAGGCCGGCACGACAGCAACAGTGGTTAGTCAACGATCAGTGCACCCAGATGACACACACAACACAGTCGACGCTGAGCTGGGGCGTCGGAGTGGCTGATTGCAGCAACCGGAAGTAGACGCTGTCTCGAACAGCGCGTGAGCGGTGACGCATACCATGCGAGGTGAGGAGGGGCACTCAGCTGACACAGCGAGGAGGGGCCAAGCGGTTTTGAAAGAGGGTAGCATAGGAAAGAGGGAATGAAGCGATCGTCGCGTTTCGATCATCTAACGCGTGTAACTCCGCTATTACGGCATCGTTACAAAAAATTCTCACGGCTACCTGTTCGCTGTAAACTCGAGCACAACTTCCTCACCTCAACTAAATTTCGACCGCTGCGTGGTTTAGGGGCCCTTTAGAGGGACACCAAAGAGCAAAGCAATTTTTCACATATTAGGGAAGTAAAGTTTCACAATCCCGACAACACCACTCTTACCGCGACACGACGCTTGGTAACCGAGAAAACCCTTGAAAAGATAATGCGAGTGGCGACACCCCCGTGAGATTCCCACACCAAACACTGTGACGTAGTAAATTTTGAAGGTGTCTAGTTCGTCCTTCATAACTTCTACCTGATAAAAATGTAGGTAATTGTCATCTATAGGTGCCATAGACCTAGACTATGAAGTTTCAAAAACTTTCACCGAGTCGATGTCGCGAAAGTAAGAAAAATATGTTCTGAAATTCGTTACCTCACGCAGGGAGTTTTCAGCGCAAAATTTTGAAATGAATCTTCAGCCTTGACCTTCTCTGCTAATAATGAACTTATGACCATAAAATTTATGGCATTAGAGTTCTCAGAATGCAGTTGATCTATCGAAACTAAATCACTGTTTCTCTTTAGAGTTCGTTTAACTTCCACGAAAAAAAACAACGAAAAGGTGGTTATCCCTGAATGCTGTAAAGAGACTAAAATGACAACATTGCATAAAAGGGATATGTCGGGACTGAAGCCTACCGTGTACCGGAGCTCGACAAAGCCACGAAATCAGAGAGCGATGTGTTTCGCAGCTACGAATACAAAGCATACATGAAACCTGTGGCAGTCTGATGAAGTCAATCAATGCACGCAATACATGACGAAATCGAACTATTTATTTTTTACACCGGATTCGTAAATTCATGAGGGAAAGTGAACAGAGAGACAAATTATTAAAATTCATGCCTACATTTGCCACATTGTCTGTTAATCTATTGCCCTCGCATCCACTTCCTCTTTTGTTTTGCTTGAAAATTCTAAACATCAATTAAAATGATAACTCACATCTGCCCCGCTTTTCCCTGGGCAATTAGCTCTGTGTCGTCGCAACAAATGAAAGTCTGTCTCCTCAATACACACACGTATCACACTGCACGAAGGGTACACACATCATGCGAATTCAAGTGCAACATCCTTACTCAAGGAAAGTAAGCCAGGACTTGCGGCTTTGCATAAGCGCCACTTCCTTGGCAACGCAAAGGTCCTTGTAGAGGGACTCGACCGCAGGCGGCCGGAACCGGCTCACAGTCTTGGTCCTAAATGAAATTACAGGCAAACCAAACAGTCAGAAACTGCATTCAAACCTCGAAATAAAGAACCCAAATATAACAAAATATTGGTTATAATGAAGTAAACTAAGAACAGTCTGGCAATGAATATAGTGTTGGGAATATACTTTCATGACAAATTTTCGGATGAAACGAACTTATTTTGCTGCAAGATGCAACATTGTTATGATGAGGTTTGAGTGTACGGCAGTAATTTACAGTTACTCGGGTGAATGATACACAGTAGAACACCATTTGTCAAGTTCATTAATTATGTTTTCAGGGCATAATCTCTGGCGCCCTGCCACAGCGAATGATCTACATTTATAAGGATCTCCATTCCACACGGCATCCCCACAATGTTCCTGCCCGACAAGCCATCAACTGTGGCTGCCCCGGATGTGACGAGGAGTTGTTGCATCGTTGAGTTTTGCGATGCGGACAGTGACAATGTGATCCAACGGCTCAAGAAGAGTCCAGCTATGGCAGACGCACGAAAGGAACGTCAGGCTTCGATCTATGACTTCTTTTTAAGCCATGAATTGATGTATAAGTTCTGAGGTAGAACTGTGTGTAATGCACCTGTTTTATTATTTAGAAGCACTTCTCCCCAATTTTTACCGCACATCTGCATTATGTGTTTACTGCCTGCAGCTTATCGTTTTTCGTGGTGCCGTGAAAAACATGGAGTACTTCCATGTATTTTTAGATGAACGTTAGTTGCATCAATGACAAGGGTCTGTGAAAGGAGACTAGGCGAGTGCAGTATTTTATAAATTGGAGCATTAGACCACATAATAGCCTTACATAGAATATGAACTATATTTGTAGTTCCCAAACCGAAAACGTAGCAAAAAGTAAAACTCCAGAGACACGTTTTTTAAAACGTGAAGTTTCAGGCCTCTGAACTTATTGTTAGTTGCATTACCTCATGTTAATCTCTAATGCATTGCCACAAACCAATCAGTATACTGTTACGGGGTCGTGATGCGGATGAAAGGAGCAGACTGGATTTTCAGACTAAACTGTTTATTTGGCCAAACTTGTGGCCACGTAAAAGGAAGATCACATTACAGCAAGAAGCTGGCACCGACAGCGGCGAACAGAGCGTCAGCCGTTGACCAACCGCCAAGCGCTGCAGCGCGTCGGCATTTATGCGCGTGCCGTCGAATAATCTAGCATTATCGCTAGCGGTCACGTAGGTTCGAGAATAATGTTCGCGAAGTGCGCGTGACCTTAACAAGGTGATCTACTGCAGTCCTGAAGCTTCTCAAACGCTGCAGGTGTGGTTAGTGCTGAGAATTACTGACAGTCAAATGGGGCGATAACAAAACTTTAGGAGGGAATGTGGAATTATTTTCTCAGACAGTATAAAATATTTTTTGACTCATTTCATCAGCATGGAACGATTATATGCTTATATAATATTTGTTATAAGACATTATATAGTAAATACTATAGTAAACCCACGATAATTTGTACTTCGGGTGAACTAAAAAAAATTAAAATTAAAAGAATTAAAATCAAGTTTTGGGTTGGCCCGCTATCCTTTCAGTTTATTCAAAAGCTGGTTGATTCAAACTCCATCATTCAGTTCAACCGTCCTTTTTGCGAGTCCATACAGAATATATTTATTGCTTTCCAACTACTATTTAAAAATTAACACGCTTATACAACCAGAACTGTCAAAAAATCAATAAGGGCCTCATGCCATCAAAAAAAAAAAAGGTTTTGCTACTAAACAAATGTATGAAACGAAGCACAAGCATGGTAGACTATGGTACTTCTCAACTGGAATTGAGAGCGTTGTGTTAACAGCACATACTATAGAAAAGAAGCAAATGACAATTCAGGATTCCTTTGAAAAGTCTGGTGTGCAGCAAGTGTCCCACAAACTTATAAATCTTACGCACGCCCCCCTGCTTTTCTGTTTATATTGTGCAGTTAGGGTTCAAAAATGCTTAAAAATTTAGAAATGCGATAAAATCCACCCCTAGACATGATTTCTGGTGTCACGTTACTGAAAGTCATATATGTGAGAACTTCTTAATAATCAAAACAAAACCTGGAGGTCCCTTCGAGTCTGAATTCACGATTGATCAGTAGTTAATACCATGCATTACAGTAGACACATTACATGTAAAACAGCGTTCGATGTACCTTGCATAATTTACAGTTAGAATTAATGGACATTTATTTATATAGGGCCCAGCACATTTTCACTCGTCTTTGTGGATTACAGAAACATTTCCAAGTCAAACATGCATCTCTATCAATCTCAAAAGAATGCGTAAGGATACGTACGAGCTTATTTTGAACCAGTCCCGAGGCAGCATGGATGTTTTCTGGATGGGAACTTCAACGAGGAACTGAAAATAATGCGTGAAACGAGTGGATATGCCACGTTATACACACATCGTACCAAGTGGCGGCTACATTACATTGAGAATATAATCACCAAATCCATGAAACTTGTTTCACAAGTTCTACTAGAACGTTTACACTAATATATTGAGATAACTGCACATCAGCAAATGCTTAGACACTCAAATTGTGATATAACGAGCTTGGATGTAACAAATTATCGGTTACAACGAAGTACGTGAGGGATAGCTCTCATAGATACATCACTACAGATAAACTTTTATAACAAATTTTCGGATATAACGAAGTATTTTTGTGCTTGATGTGACTATGTTATATTGGCACAAGGTAGGCTGGCAACTATAGAAGCCAGCCTCTGAGGAGGACAACGAAGTAGTTCGGTGTGCGCGTGCTCTGGTGTTCGCGTTTCTGGCCCTTGGGTTACGAAAGTAAACGCCCTGTTTTGTACCTGCGTACCTGTGTCTTTGTGACATTTTCTGGTGGAGGTGCGAGGAACGGCAGATGATACGGTCCTCTGAGAGCACCCCTGACGCGAGTCCATCGAGAAGCTCAGCCGAGCTTACCCCTGTGCGCGTACGTTCCAGCCGTCGTCTCCAGAGACTCGAGCCACAGCACGGTTTGCTGCCTGAACGTCAGAGGACTATGAATCAAACACCGCCTAACGTCACCGCGCCAGAACCAGCGCACCTGGTTATCAACCAGCCCAAGACGCCGAAGACATTTCACAGAGCAGCTTTTGAACATGCCGACGACTGGCTCGAGCATTTTGACCGGGTCGCCGTCATCAACGATTGGACCCCAGAGCGTAAGCTACGCTATGTGTACTGCTTCCTGGAGGACTCCGCGAAAATGTGGTTTGAGGACCATGAAGCAGCGCTTGCATCATGGGATGAGTTTCACCAGCAGTTCCTCAAGGTCTTTGCCCGAGAGGACAGGAAAGAGACAGCGGAGCGTGGTATAGAGGCAAGGGTTCAAGGCCCTAACGAAAGGGTGACGACTTACATAGAGGACATGGATCGGCTTTTCAGGCGTGCGGAGCCCTCTATGTCCGAATCCAAGAAAGTTCGACACCTAATGCGTGGTGTTAAAGAAGAGGTTTTTGCCGGCCTGATTCGAAACCCGCCTGCGACACTTGCGGAGTTCCATGAGGAAGCCACTGCCATGGAGAGGGCCCTTCAACAGCGTGCCAGGCAGTATAACCGTGGTGTACACGCAAGTGAGGTCACTTCTGTCACTCTCGGCAATGACATCAGCGCGTTGCGAGAGCTTATCAGAGCTCTCATTAACGAAGAGCTACAAAAGATGCAGGTGACTGCTTCACCTGTAGAGCAGCTCTCCATTGCGGAGATGGTACGCGCCGAGCTACGGCAAGCCGTTCACGCTCCCCAACCGTCCGAGGCGCCACAACAGAGGCACTGCATCGAGATGAGCTACGCGGAAGCAGTGCGACGTCCTCCATCGTGCAGTTCAACTAGCGTATTTTACCCCAATGAGCGACACGCTTAGCAAATGGAGGTAGGCTTCCATCCTTGCAGCTCGCCGTTGATCGCCGAAGCAAGACCGAGAAAGAGTGACATCTGGCGTACACCCAACCACAGGCCATTTTGTTTCCACTGCGGGGAAGCCGGACACATCTACCGAACATGTCCATACCGTCATGTGGGTCTCCGTGGATTTTCGCCTAATGCCCCTCGTCCACAACCTGGCGAGCGACCACTGGAAATAGAGAGTTTCGTCTCGAATCGTCCCAGTATCGAACATCGGTCGCAAGAGCCTCGCTCGTCGTCGCCTGCTCGCTACAGGTCACCGAGCCCAGCCTATTCACGTGGCGCTCCGAGACGCCGTTCACCCAGTCCTGCAAGTCGGAAAAACTGAGTTCAGCGACCTCCGGAGGTGAGGCCGCTGACGCTGACTCTACGGATGATCCTCCACTAGGACGACAGCGACGACAGCAAAAAGATGTACAGACGCAGTCAAACGTGGTACGAAGAGTGGTGAGATCAAACATTGCCGTAACTGTGGACGACGAAAAAGTAATGGCGCTAATTGACACTGGAGCAGACACTTCCATTATGAGCATGGGTCTTGCCTGCAGGCTGAAGAAGGTTTCTACCCAGTGGGCTGGGTCGCAGATACGTACGGCAAGAGGCCATCTTCTCACTCCGGTGGGACGGTGCACAGCGCGAGTCAGTATTCACGGATTTACGTATCTCGGAGGTTTTGTACTACTGCCGAGTTGCTCGAGGGACTTAATTCTTAGACTGGACTTTCTGCATGATAATGAAGCCGTGATTGATTTGCAAGAGTCGCAGGTGACGTTTCCTACGGCACACGCTTTAGCGCGCAACCCTCACGGCAGTTACATCAATGCTTTGAGAATTGTTGACGATGACGTCACGTTACCGCCGAAGAGTAGCGTGTTGACCTTGGTAACCTGCGACGTTTTTGATGAATTCAACGACTATGAAGGTATTGCAGCGGCAAATATCCCGCTGCTGCTCAAACGAAACATCTGCATAGCCCGATGCCTTGATCGGTTAGAGAATAAACACTCTCGAGTTCTGCTGACCAACTTCAGCAATGAGTTTCAGCACGTCCCTAGAGGCACTACTGTCGCTTTCCTCAGTGAAATCGCCGACTTTTCCGATATATGCACATTGGATACAACTTCACCGCATGCAAAAGCTTGTGCTGACCTGGGAAGCCGCATTCACGTTAATCCAGACTTGCCAGATTCACGAAAAGAGCGGCTGCTAAACCTTGTAAGGGAATTCTCGGACTGCTTCTCCACAGCATCGAAAGTTCAGCGTACCACCGTTACAAAACACCGCATTGTTACTGAGGAGTCGGCGCGGCCTCTTCGCCAACATCCATACCGTGTGTCCCCGAAGAAAAGAGAGGTGATTAAGCGTCAAGTTCAAGAAATGCTGAATGATGACGTCATTCAACCCTCAACAAGTCCGTGGCCGTCACCTGTTGTCTTAGTAAAGAAAAAAGACAACACACTATGCTTCTGCGTCGACTATCGACGGCTTAACAATGTCACAAAATGCGACGTTTACCCCCTGCCACGAATTAATGACGCCTTAGACCGTCTACGCCACGCCCAGTTTTTTACATCATTAGATCATAAGTCAGGATACTGGCAAATTGAAGTTGACGAGGGCGACAGTGAGAAAACCACGTTCGTGACTCTGGACGGACTCTACGAATTTAAAGTGCTGCCTTTCAGTCTCTGTTCCGCTCCCGCCACACTTCAACGCATGATGGATACTGTTCTAGCTGGACTAAAGTGGCAGACATTTCTTGTATACTTGGATGATGTGGTTGTGTTTTCAAGCACATTTGACGAGCATCTTTCAAGGCTTAAAAGTGTCCTCACTGCAATAAGGAGAGCAAACCTTACTATCAAGCCCGAAAAGTGCTACTTCGGCTATCAGGAACTCAAGTTTCTCGGTCACGTGGTAAGCCCAGGGGCTGTTTGACCAGATCCGGAGAAGTTGGCTGCCGTTGCCGATTTTCTTCGTCCTGGAGACAAGAAGGCTGTTCAGCGATTCCTCGAACTCTGTGCGTAGTACTGCCGTTTTGCCGAAGGAGTTTCGAAAATTGCGGAACTTCTTACAAGACTGACACGGCCAGATGGGCCTTTCGTATGGACTGAAGAACAACAACAAGCCTTTGTAGAGCTACGCAATCGACTGCAGACAGCTCCAGTGCTGGCACATTTTGACGACACTGCCGACACCGAGATCCACACAGACGCCAGCAACGTAGGAATCGGAGCCATTCTAGTTCAATGGCAGAACAGCGCAGAGCGTGTGATTGCTTACGCGAGCCGTAGTCTCACAAAAGCGGAGGCTAATTACTCTACCACCGAAAAAGACGCAGTCGTTTGGGACATTAGCAAGTTTTGACCCTACCTATACGGCCGGCCATTTCGAGCGGTCAGTGACCACCATTCGCCCTGTTGGCTTGCCAATCTACGGGATCTATCAGGCCGCCTCGCCCGCTGGAGCCTCCGCCTTCAAGAGTACGACATAACAGTGGTCTACTGATCAAGACATAAGCATACAGATGCTGACTGCCTCTCTCGTGCTCCTATTTCCCCGACGTCATCTGACACTGAACAAGATTTACCGGTTCTTGGCATCGTCGATGTGGTGCGGATGGCTGAGCTTCAACGTGAGGACACTTCCTGTCATCCAGCATCTTCAAGAAGAAGACGTTATCGTCCCATGCCGGCTCTCGCCTGGTTTAAGAACATATTGCCTGCGGACCAATGTTATCTACAAGAGAAATCTTGAGAGCAGCCAGGAAACTTTCCTCCTCGCCATTTCAACGGCACTGCGTGAGGAAGTTTTGCAGGCGTGCCACGGCGATCCTTCGGCCGGTCACTTAGGCTTTGCTAGGACATTAGCGCGCATCCGACAGAAGTACTACTGGCCACAGCTGTATTCGTCCGTTCAGCGCTATGTCCGCACCTGCCGTGAGTGTCAGAGGCGTAAAGTTCCACCCGCAAAGCCCGCCGGTTTCCTCCAACCTTTAGATGCACCTCGAGCACCATTTCAGCAAGTGGGAATGGATCTTCTTGGTCCATTCCCTACGTGATCCTCAGAAAATAAGTGGATAATCGTCGCAACCGACTATCTGACTCGCTATGCAGAAACCAAAGCTGTGCCTAAGGGAACTGCAATTGAAGTCGCCAGATTTTTTGTCCACGACATTGTTTTGCGTCATGGTGCGCCTGCTGTTCTCATAACCGATCGCGGAGCAGCATTTACGGCAGAGTTATTGCAACAAGTCACCAAGCTGACGCACACCAACCACCGGAAAACAACAGCTTATCATCCCCAAACGAACGGCTTGATGGAAAGGTTAAACAAAACACTAGCCAACATGCTATCTATGTATATTGATGTAGAGCACAAAACCTGAGATGAAATTTTGCCGTATGTCACATTTGCTCATAACACCGCTGTGCAAGAGACCACAGACCTAACACCATTCGAGCTTGTTTATGGCCGTCGCGTCACAACACCGTTAGACGCTATGCTACCCGTAGAACAGGACACCAGCGGAAATGACAGCGTTGGCAACTTCGTCGAGAAAGCCGAGAGAGCCCGCCAGCTTGCACGGAACCGCATTCGCGCGCAGCAAGATATCGACGCTCGCCGTTACAACTAAGGCTGAAGGAACGTCCACTATCAACCAGGTGACTATGTATGGGTGTGGACCTCAGTTCGACATCGTGGGCTTTCAGAGAAGCTATTGCGACGCTACTTTGGCCCTTACGAAGTTGTGCGCTGCCTCAGTGACGTGAATTACGAGGTAGTTCCCCAAAGCTCCGACACTAGTTTAAACCAAAGATGTCCACGTCCAGAAGTAGTCCATGTAGTACGGATGAAACCGTACCACGCCCGCGAGTTATGAACACTTCGAACTTTTTCCTTATTATCCACAACAGCGTGGGCTTTTTTTTTTTCCGTTGACGTGATCATTTTCTTTTTTTTTTCATGGCCACCTCTAGCATCTCAGTCAATCGACCGGGACAGTCGCTCTTGAAAAGGGGAAATTGACGCAAGGTACGCTGGCAACTATAGTAGCCAGCCTTTGAGGAGGACAACGAAGTAAATCAGTGTGCGTGTGCTCTGGTGTTCACATTTCTGGCTCTTGGGTTACGAAAGTAAACGCCCTATTTTGTACCTGCGTACCTGTGTCGTGACAATATCAAGGTTTTGAGTGCGACAGGGGAAGTGCAACACTTTTCGAACAAAAGCGCACACTGAGTTCAGAATGCTATCACGATCAACAACGAAGGCCCGCAAGTTTCAAGAAACCATTCCTTCTTCTCTCCATGCTTTTCGGTATTCCTAATCACTTCAGTGTTCACATTGACCTTAACACGTCATCCGCTTGTCATCCACAAAACCTGCTGGGAGGTACACACGACAATAAATCGGTGCGTTCTATCTGGTCCATGTTTACTAGTACACTCGAACCTCATTATAACAAACTTGTATGTTATATGAAAATAGGTTCGTTATATTGGGAAATTTGTTATAATGGTTTTTACTTAACACTAAATCAATCGCAAGATAATTTTTCATTTACTTCGTTATAACCAATATTTCATTATATCCGGATTCGTTATATCGAGGTTTGAGTGTAGTCTTTCATAACGAAAGTCAGTTAGAGACACTCGGTCGATAAGTAGGACCGTAACAAAATAGTTACCGGGAGTCCATTGACTGTCTTGTAGTCAAATGTGGCCACTCCGAGTTGCACGGCAATATCCTTGCGAAGTGAAAGAAGCATCTGCTCAATGTTGAAGACGTCTTCGTAGCATTTCAGAAGATCGGGGTAGTCGGATAAGTCCTTGAAAAGTGTGGCCATGTCATCGCGTCTGCAACAACATGACAGAGATAACTTATACCTCGTTTTCTCACCTATAAGCTGCACACACAAAAAAATAATGACGAAATGTCAAACTGCAAACCTATATTCGAAATTCTCGTATGCCGGCTGTGGGTGCTGCGTTTTCGATAAGGTAGAAATGCTTGGGGTTCGTGTGCTTGGTCTTCGATTGCAGTGCACGATAAAGAACCCTAGGTGGTCAAAATTTCTGGAGCCCTCTGCTACAGTGTCTCCCGTAATCATATCGTAATTTTGGGATGTTATGCCCCAAATATTATTATTATATACGCGACAGTTGGTGGGCAAAAGAGGCCTCTCAGCAATGTATGATGGCTGTAAAACGAAGGGGGCATGAATGCAATACGTGGAGCTTTTTTTTAGTTTTGTGTGTTACGCACGAGAAATAGTGCTATTTTTCCTCTAGCTAGTGAACAAAAAAAAAAAGCACATCCCTTCACTTTATTATACTTCGCAGGCCTCCAAGCACCACAACCAAGCACTCGAACAACGTCATAATCCCTAGTTCCCGTCAATTTCAGCCACAAAGAATTTGGTTATAGGTTACAGGGTAACACACTTTTCAGAAGTTCACCAGAGTGTCAACCATCCATTTGTAGCATGTGGTTACAAAGAAAATCGTCCTAGATCTCTCAGAAACGAGGCCTCCGGGATGACGAAACATTTCTCCTGGTTCGGTATTCAAATTCCGGATCATTGCCTTTCTGGGGCAATCTAGCAATTGAGCTAAGTAGAAGGCTAAGAAAATGCAATGCCAGGGTTAATTATAAATAAAGCAGAGGTTACAAAGCCACTACTCCGAAAAGGCATAGGTACTAGGGTCGAATCCCCGACCCAGAAAAATTTTTTTTTTTTCTCAACTGGGAAACTTTTCTTCTCAGCAATCTACATGTCTTAAACCTCAATATAACGAACACAAATATATTGAGTTATCGGTTATAACAAACTAAGTGACGAATAGTTGTGTCATAGGTGCATTGTTACGAATATACATTTATGATAAATTTTGGGATAGTACAACAAAGTATTTTTGTGGCAAGTGTGGCTGTTATAATGAGGCTTGAGGGCAAATCATTGCCCCGCCGCGGTGGTCTAGTGGCTAAGGTACTCGGCTGCTGACCCACAGGTCGCGGGTTCGTATCCCGGCTGCGGCGGCTGCATTTCCGATGGAGGCGGAAATGTTGTAGGCTCGTGTGCTCAGATTTGGGTGCACGTTAAAGAAACCCCAGGTGGTCAAAATTTCGGGAGCCCTCCACTACGGCGTCTCTCATAATCATATGGTGGTTTTGGGACGTTAAACCCCACATATCAATGAATCAATCATCGAGGGAAAATCATTATGTAAACTCACGTGTACTTTGTATCTGATACATCCGGATTATATACTTCAATCTGTATGTAAATTGGTATCCAAGATCATCCTGTATTGAAGTATGAAATCTGTATCTGAGAAATCGTAAGCATTTCTTATGTGACACAAACATATTGATGACAAAGTTCCTTTCTGTGTACCTTCTTCCAGCTTGAGGGCTTCCGCTGAGCTTATTTGCCGTATTACGCTTTTCTCAACGTACAAGAATGCGCTTACATACTTGGCGGCACTGATGTCCAGGCAGTCCAGATGACCTTCCACATCTCTCAAGAGCCTCGCGACATTGGCAAAGCAGTTCTTCAATGCTGTGCTCGTGATGCCGAGAGAAAAATTGGTGCAGAGTGCTGAAAAGAGGCTCTGTGCACGGGACAACGCAGACAATATTTCCACGAGGTCAGACGGCTTCACCTGCACAAAGGTGTGAGAAGGAGCAACAATAGTAACAATAATCTCTGCCAAGCAAAGCTATTACCATATAAACTCGTTATCATGGCAACATGTCAACATTCATTGCAATGAAGCTGCGGTATGAACTCATGTAAGGGGTGCCCCAAGCTTGGTAGCCCAAAATTTGGAAGAAAAACACCTCCAACAGAGAAACATTTTTTTTTTGTTTTTTATGTCACCAAGAAGCAAATGGGCATGCAATCTTGAAATGTTTTTGCCAAATCATCCCCATGAATAACGAATCCTGAAAACGTGTGGACAGTTCAATATGAATGAGTGGTTATTTTGCTCCCTGAAGCTAAACCATCATCATCATCATCATTTATTTTTCCCTTAAAGGCCCCTCTCGGGGTATTAGATAGGGGGGGGGGGGGGGAAGGTTACATAAAGAGTTACAAAACATATCGGATCACAATACTGAAACATAACACATAGAAATGCAGACTTATTTAAGAGCACAAAAAAAAAAAATGTTACAATTAGAATCAGGCATATAAAGGCGAAAAGAAAGAACAGTGTAAAAGAATTTTACAGCGTAAGATGATCAGTGAGCAACTGCTTAAACGCAACAGGGTTTCGCTCAACAACACAATCTGGCAAAGTGTTCCATTCTGCAATGGCTGTTGGCAAAAAAGATTGATTAAAAGAAGACGTAGAACCGTGCAAACGCTGGACGCTGCACGAGTTAAAAAGGCGACGAGATGTACGGCTTGGCGGGATAAAGAGTTTACCGTGAAGATGTGGGAAGTTATAGTAAAGCCTATGGAACAAGCACAGCCCTGCAATCTTCCGACGGAACGACAATGACTCGAGTCCCAATGATGACTTTATGGCACTGATGCTTTCATCACGGCCCCTACCTAGAAGAGATGAATCTGGCCGCACGGTGCTGTATAGATTCTAAAGTGTTAATGAGGTATGCTTGATGAGGGCTCCAAATAGCTGAGGCATATTCAAGCTTACTTCGTATAAATGTTTCATAAGCCAGTTTTCGCGTGGATGAGGGACACAAGGAAAGGGAACGTCTGATGTAACCAAGTGATTTAGTAGTGTCGGCTGCTAATTTGGTGATATGATCGGACCATGTCAATTTTTTGTTTATTGTGACACCAAGATAACGATAAGATTCGACGAGGGACAAAGCTATCGAGTTTAAGGAATACGTGTAATTACTGTTGGAGCGCTTACGGGATATCTGCATAACTTTACATTTCGAAATATTGAGTTTCATAAATGAATTGGAACACCAGGATTCGATTTGATGTAAGTCGCTTTGAATTATTTCATGGTCAGTTCGATGTGCGATGCGACAATAAAGAACGCAGTCATCTGCAAAAAGTCGAATAGAAGATGAAATGCCATAAGGAAGGTCGTTTATGAAGATGAGAAAGAGCAGAGGACCAAGAACGGATCCCTGTGGTACTCCAGAAATCACGTTAGTAGTGGCTGAACAGTGATTACCGACAACCGTGTATTGGAGACGATTGGTCAGGAAGCACCGGATCCATGACAACGCTAGGGGGTCCAGCTGTAGGCATGAGAGCTTGGCCAGAAGTCGCTGGTGGGGGACACAGTCAAAAGCTTTCGCAAAATCAAGATAAATGACGTCAGTTTGAAAGGATGAGTCTAAGTTTAAGTGAAGCTCAGTAACAAATTCAAAGAGCTGAGTATCACATGATAGGTTAGGCCGAAAACCATGTTGATTGGGGAAAAAGAAGGAATGATTACCTAGATGACATGCTATTTGTGAGTATATTATATGTTCTAGGAGTTTGCAGGCAATGCTTGTAAGCGAAATGGGACGATAGTTGGAGGGATCCGAGCGGCTGCCAGACTTGTATACAGGTACTACTTTATTAATTTTCGAGTTCGTCGGAAGTGAACTGTCAGTGATTGACTGCGTGAAAATTATTTCTAATTAGGAACTGGAGAACACTTTCGTGCCTTTTAGTATTTTGGCTGTAATACCATCATGTCCTGGGGCACTAGAAATCTTCATTTTTTCAATGAGCTTCAAGATTCCTTGAGAAGTAATGATTATAGGAGGCATATCGGAAAGAGAAAGGTTGGGCGGATCAAAGTCGTTTAGTGTGGGTTCATTAGTGAAAACAGATGAAAAGTACGAGTTGATTACATCTGATCGCTCATCAATTGGTACATTGGAACCATCAGGGTAACTCAAAGAAATGTTATTGGAGCTTTTACTAGGTGTGAGGATTATCCAAAATTTTTTAGGGTTGACACGCATAATGGTCTGCAAGTCGTGAAGGAAGAACTTCTTTTTGGATTGTCTCAAAGCAGAAGTATATTGACGCAGACTCGTAAAATACTTTTCCCACTTTGAGGAAGTTACCGATTGCTTCGCATCGCGGAAAAGACGCTTTTTTTTCTCTAACAACCTCTTTAGTGTGTTCGAAAACCAGGGTTTTCCCAGGTCACCGCGAATGCGTACAAGGGGTACATGTAACTCTACAAGCGATGTTAACTTATTCTTAAATAACAGCCAATTATCGTCTACTGAACGAAGAGAAGCAGACCGACGGAAGTAATCAAGGAACTCACTTAATTCTGAGTTTATTTTTGTGAAATTGGCTTTGTTATAATCCCTGATGTGTTTTATTGAGCGCTGTCGTACAGGACGTGGGATGCTTAGGTTAAATAGCACTAAATTGTGGTCACTTAGACCTTCAACGGATGATACCGATTTAACTGTATCAGGGTTGGAAACAAGTACGAGGTCTAAGATATTTGCCCCACGGGTTGGTGTATTAACCATCTGAGTAAGGTTAAACGTCAGGGTCATTTCAAGAAAATCTTTGGACTGGCGGTTATCTGACTCAAAATTTGTCCAGTTAATATCTGGAAAATTAAAGTCACCACAGAGCATGAAATTAACAAAAGAAAAACGAGAGTAAAGATGTACTAGAACTGTATTTAGTTCATAAATGAAGGAGGCATCATAATTAGGAGCACGGTAACAAGCAATAATCACAGTCATTTTCGAAGCTAGTGAAATGTTCACACAGAAAATTTCGTGTTGACAGTTCATTTTGATGACATAAGAAGGAACACTTTCTTTAACAAAAATCAATATTCCGCCCCCCCTCCGCCCCTCCCTGTCAAGCCGGTGAACAGCGTACGCTTGGTCGTCTTGTAATAGCTCGTGGTCAGCAATGTGCGGCTGAAGCCAAGATTCCGTAAATATTGCAACGTCAGTGTTGTTGTCATTCAGAAGGGATTCAACAGCGTCTTTCTTAGGCAGGTAACTACGCACATTAGCGATTAAAACTGCCATACATTAACAAACGGGATCATTCATAGGGGCGAGGCAAGGTTGGGGGGGAAGTGGGCGACGCGCATGCCTGAGATATAGAAATGACTGCCACGACTGCAATTCAACAGCGCTATCAGATTCTGCATGGTACGAAAATTGCTTGTTTTCAAGTAGTAACTTGTCAAAGCATAGCTTGAAGGGTTTGCCGCTCAGCATGCCATGGTCATATAGTTTCCTTCGTGCCTGTCGAACTCTAGCTGAGTAGTCTTCGCGAATTGAAAAAGTCGTGCCCTTGAGCTTGGACGCAACTGCAAGAATTTTTGATTTATCTTTAAATCTTGCATATTTTACTATGATAGGTCTACTTATGTTTTGCTGGTATCGACCAAGCCGATGTGCACGCTCCAAGTCGTCTTCTGGTATGGAGATACCGAATAATAAATGATTCACGACTAATACATCCTGATAGTCTACTGTAAATACATACAGCACATTAACTGACAATAAGTGAGGTAGTTAGCTTGCTCAAACGAAACACCGATGCAGCCCTCGCAAGCCTATCAACAAATTCATGGTTTGGCGCGCATTACAGTTTACCACTGGGCAAATGGGACGCTTGCCTTCTTGTGCAAGATTGCGCAAAGGCCGCGCTGAACATCTGGCATTCTTGAGAGAAACTTTCGAAGTTCGGGGAGGCTCTTGGCTCCAAGCGAGAGTATGTCTGCAACAGCCTGCTGGCGTTCTTCTATCAACCTGCGTGGAAACAAAATGCTCTCGATGCTTCTTTCAGTATAATAACCGTATACCCCTTAGGCATAAATTACAATGAACTGTCGATGAATGCACCAAGTACTTATCTACAAGCTGCTAGACACTGCACCACATGTTGCCGTGCACATACTGCCACGTTCGTATCGTTCCACGGTTTATCAAGTGATAAGGACTATCTCTTTCCCTTGCCTTTTTTGTGCTTGTTTGGGGTAGCTGCCATAAATTATGATGTGCACGTCTTATCGAATTTCGCGATATAGGGTAGGTGGGCGGTGGGCGGTCTCACGCAACTCCTTTTAAAAATGAGGTGCTGGTAGTGAATGGGGTTTACTTTTTTTTTTTTAGACGGTCGCTCGTCACCACGGGCGCGCTTGCGTGGAAAGCTTTGGACCGTGCTTTTTGCTTTTCGTTGGGAGAGCACAAGTTGGTTCCAAATAAAGTATCTTGTTTTCTTGTGCCTGCATCGTCCGTGGACTTCACGTGCATACCGTACGTGACGATTCTATCATAGTGAGCTGTGATAATTATGCAGTAAGTAGGTATCCATTCATCATGCAGTCAACAATAACAATGATAATTGTAAGGGGCTTACATCCTAAAGTCACGGTATAATTGTAAGAGATGCCAAAGTGGAGGACCCTGAAACTTTGGACCACTTAGGGTTTCTAAACATGAACAAGTAGAAGTACTGTAGACTCATCAAATGGAACTTAAAGGGACCAGAAAAATATCTTTCATTTAACAGGAACCTTCTTTACTTAGAGATGAACAGGGGTGCACAATAGAAGTACTAAACCAGCCATATTAGAGACAGTTGATACATTTAAGCAGCAATTCGGTTTATCTCATTTTCATTTACTAAGGGTCTACAGTCTACGAGCATCTAGCCACACGCCTCCATGAAAATGCAGCCCCTGCATCCAGGATTCAATTCCGCAACTTTTGTTCCCTCAGTAATAATGTATTTTTACCTAAGAACTTCGTCACAACGAACTCATAGTAGTGCATGAGCTAGTTCACAACTGGCTTCAAGGAAGCATTAAAAATACTTAATTGCTCCTTCACCATCTGTCATCAGCAGTGCTAGGAAAAATGGTACACGGTGGCAGAAAACGCCAGCCTCTCTCCAAAAGCTACCATTTTTAACTACGCTAAGGGCATACTGCCAGTTCAATGAACCCAACTTGAGCATGAAAAGGGTCCAATTTAATTCAAGGCTTGATATCTGTGTCTTTTCCATCACCACCACTCCTCACACCTGACGAAAAACCTTGCACACGTGGTTCACGAAGGAGATATTGCAAGAGTAACACGACATTGATACGTTTTAAAAATACACGCATCTCCTAGAAGCGAATGAAGATTAGTGGGCGAAGCCAGGTCCTGAGGTTCATAATCTCTATGTTGAAGTCACTGACCAGTATAAAGGACAGACTGATAGATGTACGTATGGACGGATGGGACAGACATACGAACAGACCAGGTGATCGCGTATTGTGCTATCATACACTTGATTGATGTACACATAAAGTTGGTTTTTTCGGCAGATGTTCTCGTTTTTCGTTGTGCAGGTGTTCAGTTTTGATTTCGATTTTTATTGAGTGTGACGGACGCAGAAAAAAACAAGGCTCAGCCAGAAGGGGGTTTTTCCTCAAATAGAAATAGAAAATAGAAAAACGGCACCGGCACATTCGAAATGCTTGCCAAATATTTCAGCATTTCAGTTCTCATTTCAGCTTACTACATTCCGACACTGCACTTGCCCACAACCATGGACAAGTTAAGGTCGTCCGTGAAATACTGCCGCAATATAGCTTACTAAAAACCATGCAGCTAATTCTTCTTTGTCGCACACAGAATGTGCTACAAACCGTATCATTTTTCGCAGCAATGCCGAGACGAAAACTGACTGCAAATGATGCAGGAAAGCCAAGCCTTTTCTAATCGACTTCGATATAACAAACATGAATATAATGACTTATTGGTTGTGACAAAGTAAATGACGAACAGTCTTGCCATACAGTAACAAATATATGCTTACAACGACTGTCCAGGTATAATGAAGTTATATTCATGTCATATGCAACCTTGTTCTAGTGAGGTCTGAGGGTTAAAAACTAAGTTCTTTCTTGACGTTCTCCAATAAAGAGCATTGTTTCAAACCAATGCCTTCTGGTAATTTAATACTCTTTTATAAATAGAGTAATAAGAAAAGAATTGGTAATTTTTATTGCTCTATCAAAAGTAACTTTATAAATAAAGGATTCAAATGCAATTGCTGTCTCCAGAGTTCACAGTATCAAACAAAGTAAATACTACATCACGGTGAAAAAGCGTCCTATCATTTACAGTTTTTCACTACAGTACAATGTGTGTAAAGCAACCAGCACAGCTAAAACCTTACGCAAAATGTTTACACGTTCTTTCATCGATAGCACCACTCACTCCAAGTCGGCCAATGGTTGACCAATCCACGAGAAAAGTAAGCGGCGACCGAAGGCCGTCAGTGCATGGTCCAAGTGACCGAAGAGGCTGCCTTTTACGGATCCATCCGTCGAGTTCCGAAACACGTCCAGCCGCCGCAGCGTCGCCGCTGTGAGATCCATTTTGCGACATCCACCAGATATAGGAGTGAAATTACTGGAAACAAGAGAAAGCCACCAAATCAGGTCACAACGTAGGCACGTCCATAAAACAGTTGCGAAACCTTCCGCGACAACTTCACCGTACTACATAAATTTATACACAGATCTTCCGACCTTGGTACAACTGTTATATGCGGTGTTGCGTTATATGTACTTGGCCAACACGCAGGCAGGCATGCTGGGCTAATGCCCGAGAATGGATCAATAGCAAATATGGTGACCCATATAAAGTATTGCAGAGCTCCTACGAGTTGTACAACACTTGCCCTACACCTGCCCGAATTTCACCAATTCTGAACACGTTCACAACTTTGGTTATTTTGCAATGAAGATATTTCGATTCGTGAGTAAAAAGTAAAGTTCGAGAGCTTTAAAATCATTTGCCTGATGTCTCTGAGAATTTCCTCCAGTTTGAATGCTTTGAGGTATTCCAGGAGCGAGCCAACGCAGCAGATGATGACCGGCGGGATTGCCATCAGCTGGGCGATACTCGACGAATTCTTGTCGGCCGAGTAGAAGGCAGTCAGAGTGTCTAGGCTGGGAGATAGTTTGAAGTGATCTGGCAGAAGCCGCTCCACACGCACACCTTCACGACTGCAACAAGCAATGCAGACAAGTACTTGCAGCACGTACAACATAACAAGGCATTTCAAGCAAACCAAATTCCTAGTTTTTGTGTATCCCTTTATGACACAGCATTATCATGTGGAGATGTGACTTACATTTACTGTTTCTATGTAGTATTGGAAACAAACAAACCACTAATGCTGAGATAATGGTAAATTAAGCAATCTCGTTGCCTTAAAGGGTTGCTAAACCAGCCAAAGGTCCAAATTCAGCTGTGGTGTTGCAGACTGGCACAAGTCTACAACAAACACGTCGCTGTTATGGCGCCTTTCAAACGGCGCCATAACAGCGCATGTACATGTAGGTACATGCGTTCGATGATTTGAAATAGGCCCCCACTCGTTTCACTCTTTCCTTCACTACACTCTACTAATTGACCCATCCCTCCTCCTGCTCACCTCACAAAAAGGAAAATCTGAGAGCGTGTGTTCCTTCGAGCAGACCAACACGTGATTTGTCGTGACTGACACGACAGGATGACAATACTAATACCGGGGCGAGTCCCGACAATTACTGAGAGGCCTGGAGAGAAGAAGCAAAAGTTTCTCGCAATTTGTGGGACACTTACAGCTCGCAGCGCCGTCGTGTTTGGCATTGCTGATTGTGACGGCATTCTGAACTCGATGCGCCCGTTTACATGAAGCGCTAAACAACTTACGGGGCGGTCTAGGGGCCGTTCAAGTTCCAGTACATCACTCCCGGTCAAAATATCTTGCCAAACACAACTGCTCTGCTAAAAGCAGTACAGCGTTTAACTACGTACGCGCTGAACATGGGACAATTCGGAAGGAATTTCAAAATATTTTTTTACCCTTTTTGGAATGCTTGTTGCATGCACATCGGTATCACACGTCATTTGAATGGACTGTTGAATTCAGTTTATGAAGGAATAGAGCATGAAATGACTGCCTAAAAATTGGATAATTATTTATGTTGTAATTATAATTAATTGCCATAACATAAACTGTAAGCTATTCTAACACTTAGACATGCCTTTGTTTTGACATCCAGAACCTTGGCATCAAATTATGTATGCATTTAATGGCTAAATAATTATCCAAAAATTAAATAATTATTTCCAAAAACTGGATAATTATTTACATTGTAATTATAATTATTTGTCATAATATAAACTGTAACCTATTCTAACACTTAAAAATGCCTTTATTCAAACATCCAGAGTTTTGGCATCAAATTATGTACACATTTAATGCATTTACAGACCGTAATTCGTAATGTACGTCGGAAAGGAGCAAACAAATACACGCACATTCATGCATATATACATACATATTCCCACATACAAATAAATGCACAGGAACACATAGCATTGGAGTGTACAGTGAGGATGAAAAGTAATGCAAACAGCGCAGAGTCTACATTCTCAGCCGCCACACATTTCTTTTTAAACAGACGCAGCCTGGGAAGGCAATAAAAGGCCACTAGAGTCATCCACAATACTACAACCAAGGACCCTTTTAGAATATTCTTCATTGCCCTGAGGGTCAGAACATGATCAAAACAGCTTGCCGCACTGCTCGTGTTTCTTTTCATCTAACTTGTACCTAACTGTGCACATCAAAAAATTACATAACATGATCGCCACTGCGCTCTGTCAATTCCATGTGTACCACCGCGAGATAAAGGTGCGCGTGTAAGCGTTCACCTCCTCCTCTCCGCGGGCAATACACGCATGAGAAATAAGAGCACGTGCCGCCGTGTCGTGACGATGTGGCGATGCGCACTCATTGTGCCATTTTGCTGGTAATGCTGAAAACAATCTTTAGGGGCACCTAAACAGCCTCCAGTATTTCTTTAGCAGTTCAACTAAACACACACATTGAGTTCATAGTGCCACAGCGACCAACAGCACCAAACGCGACAGTGCTACGAGACACGGGTGCACCACGACATAGAAAAAAAAAAAAATTCCGCACACCCTTCCGAGCTATTCGTTTCCCTAGCATTGACTGCGACGTCGGCACACATGTTTTGACATCTGAGCACTAACAGAAACCTGTTTGTCTACAGCAGTTATGTAGTCGAGCACACTTGCAACGATACCCAAGTGCCATGAAAATTTCATTGTTATAACCGATAATTGGTGTAGATGAATACACAGGAAGAAACAAAATAGGGAGACTGAAGGCTGTTGTGAGAAAACCGTGATATGGGATGGGATATGCCAAAAGACATCAGTGATAAGAATGAAACAAAGCAGGCAATTTTTCAGACATGCTTGAAAATACGGATGCTGTCACAGGACTGCCACAAGCTCCGTAAGGCCAATGTATCAAGTCCGAAATTTCGAATGCTGAAATTCTTCAAAGAAGCAACTTTTTATTCAATTTGCATGTTTTAACCAAGGCCACTACCCCTCCCACGCTGCAGTGGATTTCAAAAGTCAGCTTTATCGCAAAGTCACGGCGCTATACAGTGAAGCATACCATAAAAATACCTCTACTGCTTTTGTTTTCTCCCCCCCCCCCCCCCCCCATGTGATACCCTGAAAAGGGCCTTTAAGGGTACAATAAATGATGACGATGATAACTAAATCTGGAAGGGCCGAGGAATTGAAGGCAGAGGTTAACCTTCTTGAATTTCCCATATTCTCCTTTTTTTTTTGTTTTTTTTTTTTTCAGGGATTTCACGTACCGTTTTTTATCGGCACAGTCACCCTGCAGAGAAAATTAATTGTAATCGATGATGCAGCGTGCATTTCTGTAAGCAGGCGATTTCACCATATGAAACGTACAAATGCCGACCATGCAGCAGCTTCTCATTGTTATAAACGATATATTGTTAAAACCGATATCATTACAAGTGTGTTCAATAGTACACTCGTTGTGTGCTTCTGTCTTTGCATGGTGAGAAGAGAGCGACAAATATATGAATGACGCGCATCGAAGGAAACAGCAAAACAAGCTAGGGCTGTTTTTAAATTATCAAAGAACTCAAACGTCGATATAATGAACCCAGATATAACAAAATATCGGCTATAACGAAGTGAATGAAGAACAGTCTTGCTATAGATATAGTGCTAAAATTGTACCTTTATAATGAATTTTCGGGTATAATGAAATCTTCTTTGTGTAAGATACAAAATTGTGCTAATGAGGTTTGAGTGTATGTGTAAATCATCTATTGCGGCACCGTTTGGGAAAACTTCCACAGCACCATAGTCATTACAGACTTGCGCACAACTTCAATACTGCAACATAATTTTGACATTCGTGGCAGGCGTGAAGCCAGAAATTGTTTTTCTTCTGAGGGGTGGGGCACCTCCTTGATTTCGGGGAGGACACTCCTTTGAAATGGCGGATTTCGCTCTCTGTGCCATGACACAAAAAAATTTCGGGTGGAGGGGGCACAGGGGCAGTGTGCCACCCCCTGGCTGTGCCGTAGCTCCGTGGTGGTTTACAGGGCCACTCACCAGGTTTGACAATTTTAAATTTTAAGCTGACAAGTGCAATGCGTAGACGAGGCGCTCATGATCACGTCTGCCAAACTTTCCAACGCTACGCGCCGCGAAAATGGGTCAAATTTCAAGATGAAAGCTGCTCCCCCTCCCCTCTGCCGGCGCACCCGTAGAGAATGAAGGCATGACGTAGGCGTAGGAATAGCCCTACGTACACGGCAATGCAGTGACGTTGATGATTGATTTGTGGGGTTTAACATCCCAAAACCACCATATGATTATGAGAGACGCCGTAGTGGAGGGCTCCGGAAATTTTGACCACCTGGGGTTCTTTAACGTGCACCCAAATCTGAGCACACGGGCCTACGACATTTCCGCCTCCATCGGAAATGCAGCCGCCGCAGCCGGGATTTGAACCCGCGACCTGCGGGTCAGCAGCCGAGTACCTTAGCCACTAGACCACCGCGGCGGGGCAATGCAGTGACGTTGGTCCTCTACGTAGATGAGTCTGCTCTGACGTTGTCAACAGTATACGACGTGACATGGCAAAAATTATTTAACACAACATGCGTAGTTTTTGTATTTGTTGCTTTAAAAGATTAATAAAACTTGAAATAAATAATGAGACGCAATAAAAATTGTGCGCATTTTTCTTTTATTTTTTTTCCCTGTGAAATTCTACGAGATGCGAGGCTAATGTGCCAGCGTTTCGTATGCGTTCGTGTCCCCGCGGTCAGCGCATTGAGCAGACGACAGCTGTGGAACGCTGCTACGCGTTCGCGCACTCATTGTGCTCATCTATTCCACCGCATCTAAGCAAGCGTTTCCAAACCATCCCGCAGAAACAGGCAGAAGACCACAAAATAACGCTGGTCAACAAAGCAACGCTGCTCGCGTTCTCGGGAGTTGGACTTGTTTGGGCACGTCATGTGCACGTCACCTCATGGTCGGATGCTGGAGAGGGTGGAGAAGAGGTTTGGCCTGCAAAGGCTGCGCGGAGGAGCGGCAAGGGTTTCGAGCTCGCCTCCTCTCATCCTCGTTTTGCACCGCTTCAAAAAACCTGTTTTCTCCTCTCGTGATGAACCGATTCAAAAAATTTTTGTGGCAAAATGTTCCTCATCGAACACCCAACTACTTCCACTGTCTAGCTAAAATTCAGTATGGGACCTGGTGAGTGGCCCTTTAAGGGCCCTTTCAGAAACTAGCGTCCACTTACCTTGAGCTTGTGAAATTGCACACGGTTTTCTCCAACATAGAGTGACACTTCTCAGATAGAAGAATCTCGACCGGTTGAAGGCTCTCGAGTCTCTGTTCTAGTTCACAGGACGATGCGCTCTCCTCGAACGTGTCGTAGAGAACTGCTCCCGTGGTCGGCTGGGCCGCCTGCAACCACGCGCGTTTGGACGGGGACCAAAGCGAAGGTCTTAGGGGAAACGCTAATCTGGTAACGTGTTCTCTGTCGCTAATTATGAAATAAAGAAGAAAGAATAACATGAGTGGAACGCTAATCCAATGTTCTTCTCTCATTTCTTTTGCTCTCCCATTCTTGTTCCTTTCTGCGTTAAGCTGTTAAGCAGACTAGGCCGCCAACTAGCGCTACAAAGAGTACTATTGTTAACAGGTAGAGCAAACGTACGCACCACAACCCCGACGAGTATGTGATTTGGCGTCGCGCAGTCAGCCTCGCATATGGATATCAAGTAGCCTCCCTTGTTTGAGTCTTCACAACCGGCTGAGAGTTCTGGGGGGCAAGGAAGAAAAAGCACTGAGTAATAACAAAAACCAAAACAACAACAATGCCAATAACATCTGTACTATACTTCAAAGCTTTGTTTTTTTTACACGAAGTTGAACAATGGGAATTTTCGATGAGGAGGATAATTACTCTTCTGACAGCTGCTGGAACATAGCATGAACAGGGCTGTGCATTCAACAAAGCGATCATCTGTAGCAATATCTAGCACATTGAAGGTAAGTGAACATTAAATGTGCAGAGGATTCGATTTCCTGATAGCTCATCTGCTGCTTTTCTTGGTTGCTGAGCTGCTGAAAAACAACCTGCATGCACAAAAGTGCGCACTGTGCCTGAAAAGATGAAGCAATTGAGTGGGAATGCTCCCCGTCATCACATAATCAGCGGCACTACAGAATAATCAGTATACCTTCTCCGATCAATGTCGACTTGGTGAACAACGCCGTCAATTCACGGGTGAAGACGGTAGACTTTGATGTCCCGACCGACTTGAGCGCTGCCGACTCGGTCTGCCGGACTATGCCCACTTTGTGGCCGCGGGAAACGAGCCGCTCCACGTGGAAGCCCAAGCGGTGAACTGGAACACTGGCCGTCATGAAGTTGTGGTCGCGGTTGCACATGATGGAAAGCTCACGAGAAGCCAGCTGCGTGCACAACGGTGAGTTGCCGCATCAAAAAACTACAGTTATATAATACACCATGCACGAATGCAGTTTGTCAGAAGCAGGTATTAATTAAGTCAGAATTATTCAATCACACTAGTTGCGAAACTGCATTCCAAAATCCGGACATCAAATTGGCCGATTCTGTGGGAATTAGCAAACGGTTGCCCCATCTGGGAATGGTAACGCACAATACAAATTAAAGCGTTTAGTAGTTAGTGTGCTGATCACCAGGTGGCGCGACAATTTAACACTTTCACCATCTGGTCTAATAGCGTGTCCGAATTTTGATACATGGAGCCTATGGGGAGTTTTGCAACTTGTATGATTGAATAACTCTGGTATAACATAGGCAGCTTAATAGTGAACAGGAGTTTGAGACACAACAAACAAGAAGGCACAAGAAAAACAACTTGTTGCAAAATGTGTCGTTTCCCTTATGCCTTTTTTTATGTTCCATTTCTAGCAATGTTGCTAAATTTGAAATAAGCAACCAGCTAGCCAATGATTCCTCATTAGCTACGAAGTCGACAACACACGCAATTTCATACTACATAGTCAAGATCACTTGTAGGATGCATTACACAGCCAGTTTTCCTTTAAATTAAGTCAATACAAATATGCATATCATACGTGGCTAAAAAAATTCAGACTCTGGTAAGCTGCATATGACATGAATCACACCTTTCTAACTGAAGCAACCTTGTTATTGAAGCCCCTTTCTGGGTGAAGCAAGATATTCGTCAAGTATTAAGCCTGACTTTAACAAGGCATTAACTCGGTACCTGCATCAGATTACATACAGTACTTTTACAACGGATCAATGCACGTGTTGTGCCTTGTGTTTTTTTCTAACATACAGAACTCTCTCCATACAGATAAGATACCAGTGAAAGGGCAATAAATGCAAGGTTACCTCCGCATCTTCTCCGAAAAAGCGGAAGCGATATCCGCATTCAACCAGCAAAACGGTGTTGGGGTGTCGCTGCTTGATGGCCACAACTTGGCTCTCAAGTGGCGTGTAGCTGTAAAAAGAATCAATAAATTGCAAAAGAAAAGAACAGCACAACGTGAGAGTTTTTTAAATATCACATGAACACATCTGTTGGAAAGACGGTCTCTCATCATGACACCGTGCAGCAGACCTGCAGCCCTGATGTAGTCACCAAAAGCATCGAGATTACAGTCTCAAAAGCTCATTACTCTAGATTGTTAGTATGACATCATGCATGTTTCATAGTATCAAATGCAAGTCAGTTTTCAGGATCTCCTGCATTTACGTAACTGCACAAAGAATCAATATGATAGCTCCTAAAGCTCATTACTCCAGCCACTCATGACCTTATGAGTGCTTCACGGTATCAAACGCAAGCCGGTTTACAAGATCTGCATTTATGTAATCAATACAGAATCGACATGACAACGTCCAATCTATATTAGCTTAGCCTCCTATCTTGACATTGTGCTTATTTCACTCCATTAAATAAAGGCCAGTTTACATGACTTTCTGCCCTGAGGTGACCACAGCAGAAAGAATGGCGATGAAAGCCACCAATGCTCATTACTGCGGTGTCTTTACCATGGCATTGGGAGTGTTTCGTAGTATCAAAAACAATATGTTTGTGGGATCTTCTGCCCAAGGAATCAAGATGACAGCTTCTAACTCTCATTACTATAGCATTTAATGATGCCATCGTGCATGCTCCTTAGTATCAAATGAAAGTCCATGTACAGGATGTGTGATTCATACCAAGAATCTAGATGGCCGATCTCCAATGCTCATTACTCAAGCCTCTTAACACAACATCTCGCATGCTTCATTGTACAAAATGCGGGTATGTTTTACTGCATCTTATCACGTATGTCATCGCACAAGTGGTTATACTGGGCAGCTTCTGAAGCCACGCAACTCTTTATTGTCACTATTCTCGAAGATGTATTCTCAAACTCACGTGCTTCAATACAATTGGCTAGTTTATTATTAATGCTAAACTGCAAAGCCCGAATTCGGGACAAAAAAAAAAGAATGCAAAGAGCACAGGACGAGCGCTAAAGATTGGCGTTTCGCAGCACGACTTCCCAGGTCGTGATTCCCAGCACCAAAACTGACCTTGTTGTTTTGTGGTTTCCGGCATCATCGGCGCTTTCGGCAAGCGAGTCGCAGTTCTCGCTGTTCGCCGTGGTGCAGTTCGTCTGACGTGACGCCACGCCGAAACGTGAACACAGCCTGTTCTTGATGTTGGTGAAGTCGCCGCCTGCGAGTCCCTTTCTTTTGCCCGAAGCCGGTGTCCTCGAAGATGATGCATCGCCCGCACTCTGCTTCGAGTCTCTTTTCCGGGTCTTGCCGCCACTTCCATCTTTCCGCGACTTCGACGCAGCCCGGCGCCTGATTATAGCGCGTAGCTGCGCCGGGGGAACCATATCCTATTTTATTGACAGCGCCTGTATTGCCCTTATTTAGGTTCCTGAGGATCACTCGTTGATCGTGCGTTCACAGTCCATACGAAAGAACGAATATTGAATAGCTGCTACTAGTTTCTGGGTAAGTTAACGTCCGTGTCATCACGTACAGTCGTGATGTTCGCTAAAGAAGTAATTGCGCGCTCTATGAAATTCAATCACTTTGGGAACACCCCGTCTTGAGAACACAGATACCGCCATTACGTCGAAACCAAACCGAAACCAACGTTTCCGTGGTTTGCAACATAATTTATGATTTCTCGTGGGAAAAGTTGAATGCGATGCATGAACAAAACAACGCTATTATTACTTTGTCATCTCTGCATCTCCTTCAACTAATCATTTACGTTGAAGTGTACATAGATGTTTGCAATTTCTTGATCAAGTTGCAGTAACTATTCTCAAAAACATAAAGTTTCATAGAGGTGATCTGCGGTTTCATTATGAAACCCTATACCCATGGAGTTTCATACAATAATAGTTGTATGCACGGAAGGCTTTTTGCTATGCGTCAAAATTAGTTTGAGTAGTAGTAGTAGTAGGCACGTTCGAGGTAAAAGCAATCAATGGCCGTTATCATTCATTCATTATTACTTAATCTGTCAATCAGGGACCACGCACACAACAGCGACTATACGAGTTATATTGCCAACAAATACTTGAACGCATGCGGCCTTCACATCTCGAAGGCCACGCGCTATTTATTGCGTCTTGCGTTAAAGCCGCTCGATGGCAGCAGTTGCTAAGCCACCGATAGGCGCGGGAAAACTGAACAACGTAAAATGCGACCTTCGGCAGTGATGTTCTGTACTACGCCGAAGAATTCCCATTCAGCGACATGAAAATTTTCTATTTCGACGTTTTTTTTCCTGTCCCAGAAAACTTCTTTACACAACAGTACTAATTTCCGACCCCATCGACGCACACACATACTATAATTACACGTGTCTCACGCACTGGCGACTTTTGAAATCATGACTAACCCCTTCACTGCCGCACAACAAAAGCAGGACTATTATTTCATATACTGTTAGTACACTGCAGATTGTGGGCTTCAAGGATAACACCACTAGTGAACTAGAAATCGCTCCGCGTAAATATCGGAAACAAATCACAAAGGCCATGCTTGCGTGGTGCACACGTCAGAACCGATTACAGCAGACGAAGGCGCACTGTGACCGCTGATTATCGGCCGTCATCGGATAATTTAACCATTCCTGAAATTCCCTGAAATGTCACGAAGATTCCCTGTTTTCCCTTTGGCTCAAAACGACAGACAAAAAATTCCCCGAAAAGGGGAAAATTCCCTGCACGGAACATCACTGACCTTTGGACGTCTTATGGGGTTTGGCGGCAGCCCGTTTGAACCAGGTATTTCTCAGAGTCCTTTTTAACGCCACGTAGTTATAGTAAGTTCGATATGTTTATCAGGCACAGCCGTTTTCGGTGCGTGGCCCTGTCATTACAGACGGGCGACTATATAAGGAGCTAAGGCTGGCCGCTGTGAGAAGAAGAGCAAAGTTATTCAATCATACCAGTTGCGAAACTGCATTCCAAAACCTGAACACGCGATTGGTCAATTTTGCGGGAATTAGGAGAGTGTCAAGCCACCTTGGAGCAGCCACACAAAACAGGATGCGTTTAATAGTGAGTGTGACAGTAGGACGATTAAGGGAAAAAATAGAGGGACTTTAGGACGATTCGCTCACTGCCGACTTCTGGACCGGATTTCGATGCATGAAGCCTGTGGGGAGTTTTGCGATGAGTATGATTAAATAACTCTGATGAGAAGAACGTCATCACTCCACTTTGGTATTGTTCATTCATTTTTAAGCACGTTGTCCTTTAAAGTCGACTCCCCTTAGTTGAAAACAGCGCGAAGCAAACACGGGCAAGAATTCACACAGAACCAGGGTACTACCGGTTCGAGGCCTCGCCTCTCCGCTGGTTTCGCGGTGGTCCAGGGAGTGTGCTGTTCTTCTGCGACCCGTTTGTAACCGCTTCTCTGGTGACTGTGTTCTTGAATTATTCGCAAACGGATACACATTTCACATTTTAAAGAACAGAGCGAGAAGTGGAAAATGGTCAAACACGGGCAACAGTGAGACTACGAGGTGCCCCGGGTCGAATCTCGAATGCAGCGTGCGAATGTAGATATGCCGTTATGCTTTGAACAGGCAGTAATCTTTCGCCAAAATCGATTGACTAATTATCTTCCAGGACAAACGGTGCCTACCTCTGAAATCACTCACACGCGTATGGGCGTAGGCAGAATTTTTTTTTTTTTTTTTCAGGTAGTGCACCACCTTGTTTTCGGGGGGGGGGGGGGGGGGGTGGGGGGGCACCAGCACGGTGGGCCATCCTTTGGCTTCACCACTGCACACGAGCGCATGGTGCCACATGTTAACATACGTACAGGGCGGCGTCAAAAGTTCCCAGGCCACGCTATCACAGGGATACATGGTATTCGACCATTTCAGTGACCATAGGCGGAGCAGCGGAAGGTCAAAATGGCGGACGAGACGGCGATGTCGCGAGTGTTTACGTCAGCGTTGCAGAGCGTGAAGGCGCGTTCATTGGTTCATCACTACTGAGAGACTGAACTGCATCGCAGTTTTACCACCGTGTGACAGCTTCGGAGCGCGGCCACGTGGCGCCGCCTGCGTCGCTGGAATGACTGAATAGTGGCCTGGGAACTCTTGACCATCCCTGTACATTCCCAAATCGCAAAAAGTACGTGTCCGATCAAGTGCGCCGATTCCGTATTCTTGTAATTGCATATATCGCATTTTCTCTTTTTTTTTTTGTTACACTTGTGGTAAACTGCAGAGGGCGTGAAGGGTCAACAAAAATAAACGAAAAACTACTCGTTAAAGTATTTCAGGACGCGATGCGATCGACGTTGCTTTCGAAACAAGGAGTTCCGTGTAATGGAGTCTTCAGTATGTCAGACTTGTAAGCGCGATAGTGTCGACACCTATACCAGTAAAACTTCAAAAAAAAAAAAAACAAATCTACATCGAGTGAGCAGGATTTCACGCGCATGGAAACAGGACGTGAGAGTATACGCGGCGGAACGGCATCTCACTTAAAGTAAGTTCAGGGACGCAAAATAAAAACCAGAAAATTGCTAGAGTTGTTTACTTTTAAAGTAACAAATATTTTACAAATTACGTTCATTATGTCGACCCCGAGATGACATCTTTGCAGCAGAAATAAATGAATTTAGAAATTCGCAACAAGAAAACAGACTGCACAAATATTTCAAAACACTATGATGTGGTGGTGGTAACAACTTCATTAATAACTCGGGCAAATTCGTGGCCTGGGCCGCCCCCGTGGAAGACCGGAGACCCTTTTTCCTCGCCTTCTCGCGGTCTTGCTGGATGGCCCCGCAGTTGATCCTGGAGGTTAGAGCTGCGCAGCGCGGCTGTCCACCGCGCCGCAGCCTCGTCTGGGGAGAGTGCGCAGCAAATCTTCTTACGTCCCAAAACATGTGCAAAACACCCTTTGCTGAAAAACAACGTGCTCGTGTCTGGAGGTGCATGCCACTTGAATGAAGCAGCGGGGTACCTGGAAGGTTCATGGCGTCCTTTGTCAATTAAAAGCGCGCCAAATTTGTTTGCGCGCGTTTTTTTTTTTTTTATACGTCAGGGTTATCTGATTATGTGGTAGCGCGCGTACCAGCCATTCAGCGCGGCGAGAGTCATACAGTGCGGTGCCGCGAAAGAGGGGGTGAAAAAAAAAAGAGACATAAGGTCGAGGGTGCGGCGACAGTTTGGCCGCGTAGATAAATCAGTGCTCCTACCAGTGACCTCCACTAGGTTTTTTTTCTTCTTATGTGACTCTTAACCAGAAAAGAAGAGAAAAGTGAGTCCCGTAACTGTCTGCATCAGAGTTCGACACCTCAACAGTAGCTCACGAGGTATGGGGGTAAGGAGGGATTTAAAAAATATGATTGAAAGGTAGAGAGAGAGAGAGAGAGAGATGCGCAGGGACAGCGAGCGACGACAGAAGAGAGATAGGAAAGATGAAACACGTCACAGGAGTCCGACGACGGGGCACCACTCAGCGAGAGCTCTTGTCGGCGTCAGGAGATGGCGCAGGGCGAGCCCAGTCGGCCAGAGCTGCGCTGTCGTGGGAGATCGCGGGGGCACAACCGTTCGGCACGATATCCAGAGAGCGAGTCCCCATCTCTACTAGGTTTAAACCTAGTGGAGATCAGTGGCTCCTACTTTCATAACCTCGGGGTTTTACGCTTGGCAGGGCGGTGGCGCCCTCTCTCGTGTGCGGCTGGAGTCAGCCCTATGTTTGCGAAAAGTTGTAGCGGTTTTACGTTAGTTAACGCGATTACTTATTGGCTATTCCTGTTAATTATAATATTTTACAACTCGCTCGTTCATTTTAACCTGGGCTTGAGCACTGATAGCGTTTTAACGGCCTGTACTGAGCACTTTACTGTGAGCATGATCACCCCAAATGAGGTGTATGAATGAACGAGAAGCCACACTCCTGCAGGGACGTAGGCAGAATTTTTTTTTTTTTTTGGGGGGGGGGGGGGGGGCTCGTTGGAAAGCATCATTTTTCGCTCTGTATGTCAAGGCGAATACATTTCGGTGGCGGGTGGGGGGGGGGGGCGCTGTGCCAGCCCTTTGCAACGCCACTGGGACAACTCAAGTGAAAAAGTAAGCAGTACAGAACGTTCTCAGGTATATAACACTTTATTAGACGTGCTGCGTTGCATCAAGCACCTGTCAGCCAGAGTATCGAGTCCAAAGTGCGACAGATGACGGTCGAAGACTAGAAAACCACTCGTCTATGTACAAAGTCAGAAGCGTTTTTTTTTTTTCTACTGCTGTTGGTGCACACGTGTGTAAAAATATCATTCTAGCTGAGAGAACATTTGTGCGTGTGAGAGAGGGAGACAGGTGCTGCATTCTCGTCCGCTTCCCACGTTTGGC